GGGCAGGCAATGACACCTGATAGTCATCTCACTGATTAAAACACCTTTGAACAGATGGACTCTAATGCTGCGTTCAAGTCCTCCTGGGACGTTCGTACTTACGAGTTGACAAGTCGTAATTACGACGTCAGGTGCGTTCAAGTCAGTTTAGTCGGCACAAGATGGCGGTGTACCTTCTTTTAATAAATTACAAGAAAATACAACAGGGTCTGTTAACTCTGCTTATAGAAATGAAGAGCAAAGAATTCGCATCAGGTGTGTTTTGCGTTTTTAATATTTTTAAAAAGTCATTTATGAAGCCACTTTAAACTTTATCGCATAAAAATGTCATAAAAACGATAAATTTAAACAAAAATTTACCGTCAACTACAGACGTTGCATCCATCGATTCCGCCATGTTTTTCATTGACACGCCCACAACTCGGAAACAAAACAAAATTTTGAGTTTCTCACTCGTAATAACGACATTGTGGTGGCGTTCATGTGTTCAACTCATAAATACAATCTATCCGACATGACTTGAACGCACCATAATTTCACCATCAAATTAACAGCTAATCCTAGAGTCACATACAACTGAATTTTGCGTCTCACAGTATGTAGTATTAGATCAGCTTCCTGAATAAATAAATGACAAAGTATGTAGTTCCATCTCATTTGTTTGATTTATTTCTCTTTGTCTACTTTCAGGACTTGCCTGAAAATCTGATGATGTTTTGGGTCATATTTTTGCAGAAATGTAGACAATTCTAAAGGGTTCACAAACTTTCCAGCAGCACTATATGTGTGCGTATGTAATTATTTATTATATGGAAGCTTATTTCTGCCATGGAATAAAAAAAAATAAAAAGGTAAATGTGACACTTTCTCTCACAATTGACTTTTTTTTCTGTATTGCAAGGAGAAAAGTCAGAATTGCGAGATAAAAAGTTGCATTTTCTTTCATTATTTTTTTCCCCCACGCTGGAAATAAGTGTGTAAAATGGGTCAAAATAATTTTCTGTACCTACAGTGTTTTTGTTCAGCATAATACTTTAATCTAAGGATATGTTGCGAAGAGTTAAAAAATAACTAGATTCTGGTTTGCTTTCTTTGTAATAGGAAATCTATTGAATAGCCTAATGGGCTCAGGTGAGGAGGAAGAGGGTGAGGAAGCTCAGGAGGACAGCAGCCCCATTGAGCTGGACTGAAGCATCTGACCGGTGGCTCGCTGGTCTCTAACATCCTAAACCAGCCCCATACCAAACCATTCACTGACGTGAACGACGACCAATCACGCATCCGTTTGGGCGCTCTTTTTCAATAACTAACTCTTTCCTGTTATTGTTGGACTTTGTTCTGTGTATAGTTTTTAAAGAATGAAGGTGCAACAATATCAAACTTCCCGGACTGTTGGAACAAAATTCATAAAAGAGCAGAAACAGATGCACTTCAGATGTAATTGGGACGCCCTCCATTTGTAGTTCTACTGAGCTGTTGGTGTCAGGGCCCCTCGTTTGTGAGAGGGACTTTCCTGTCCTGCCCCTGAGGGTGGTCGCTCAGTGTATTAATGAAAGTAATTCAATTGCTCTTAACTTATAATCCGTTCTAATATACTTTGATAAATTCTACAGTATGATAGCTCAAATCAAAACAAGGCTTGGTTTTGTGTGTCTTCACAGCTAGATCTTACCAGGGATATTACGGTATCCTTGACAGGACCTTTCACCACTTCTGTTACATTGTATGCGTGAGGATGAGAAAAGCACAGATCTTACACATGTGCGCGAGCGGGTGGATGAATGCATGTTCGTGTTGATCGAAGTGTGAATGTGCTGTTATAAATGTATCGGTCACCAAGGGGCCGCTTCATTCTCTGCTGAGGTGTGACTGGAGGTAATTAAAGAATCAATGGATGTAACATAAATAGATGGGTCCTGTTTTCTTAATTCCTGTAGAGCGTAAACTCAACATGAAGTAACAATTGTTGCTAATTACAACTTTTTTGGGGTTGTACAGCAGTATTGTTTAATGTCAACCAATATATATATGGGCATTGTTTTGGAAATCTGTTGTAGGTAATGGAGGCTTTCTAAAATATTGCAGATAGTTAATACACCAATGCAATGGCAATAATAGCCGTAGGGATGACTTTTGCAGGCCAACACAGAAGTTAGAATCTCCCTAGTTCCCTCACAAATTACAGATGTATTTTGTCACACAAAAAATCTTTAAAATATCTTATATAATTTATCTTTTATTTTTTTGTTATTCATTTTAGCTCTAAGTGCCTCTATAAAACATATGTGTATGTATAAATTAAAACATTCAATGTACAAACTTCTTCCAAAATAGTGTAAGTTAACAGTAGTGTCTATTAAAGGCAGGGTATGTGATTTTTCAAAAACTGATTCGGGCCGAATAGCAAAACAAACTTGTAGCCAATCACCTGAGCCAAGCAACAGAAAAATAGAGATGGTGGATAAAAAAAAAAACAAAAGAGGAAAACGTCTGTGGAACGATAAGGCAAGAAGTAGGACCCGCGTAAATATCAGATCAGCTTTCCAGCGCTGGAGAGAACTCGAGGAGTGGAGGCCTGCGATCGGACGCCGAGGTTGCTTTGTTTCTTCTCAATAGGTGAGTAACACCGTGTCTACAACAGCTAAAGTCTGCCTACACTGGATGCGATCAAACGACTGTTGAAAACCATTTGAAATCTGTGTCAGCACGTCATAAATAGAACCCGGCAGCAGTTTTCTGTCGGGGATTTGTTGCGCCACACCGCTCACATCCGATGTAGACACGGTGTAACATTGGTTTTGCTTTGTTTCACAGAACTAATCATTGCCTGGGTTGCGTACGTATATGTGGGGCGGAGCTATCAAAATAGGGGCAAGACCCTTTTGGGGTAGGGGCGTGTTTGTTTTGGTGATTAAAAATATCAACATTGGCTACCAGAAATCACTTACTCTGCCTTTAAGAACTAATAAATACTTAAAAGACTACACTGTGATCATGTAAAATGAGTGTTACCACAGCAGCTGTGCATCAAAAAAAATCATTTTCTGGATTAATGACTGCTCTACTTTTGACTCTTTTGAATCAGAGACGTGATATTGATAACGAGGAGTGTTTCGGAACAGATGAATATTTAAAGGGGTCATATTATGCGATTTCAATTTTTCCTTTCTCTTTGGAGTGTTACAAGCTCTTGGTGCATAAAAAAGATCTGTAAAGTTGCAAAGTCTAAAGTCTCAAATCCAAAGAGATATTCTTTATAAAAGTTAAGATTCAAACACGCCTACCTAAAACGGCTCGTTCTAACACGCCCCCACATGTCTACGTCACGATGTGGGAAGATTTGCATAACGCCGCCCAAATGTTCACGCAAAGAAAGAAGGCGTAACTTTTATTCTCGCTGTAGTATTGTTGTTGCCGCCGCTGCCATGTCGTGAAGGCGCTCTGTGTTTCGTTGTGAAAGCGAAACTACTTTGGTTGGCCTTCCAAGGACGATACCCACTTTGTCATGCCTGGAGCTGATCCGGGCTGGTCGCTGAGGAAATACATCAACTTCACGCTGTCGATCGGCTTTCACCGTGGACGAAGCGGAGTCCAGCCCGGGGTCGTCACATGTGGTTGCTGCAAGCCCGCCGGACGCTCCTTCGTCGAATCCGCCGGCCGCCTCTGCTCATTCAATCCGGCCTCCGCATACTTTAGGCCACGGCTCACTCTAGGCCTCCGCTCACTCAAGGCCAAGTGTGTGACGCTGTTTCGTTGTGAAAGTGAAACTACTTTGTTTGGTCTTCCAAAAGAGGACACGACTAGAAATCAGTGGTTAAGTTGTATTTGCAACACTGTTCCAGAACAGTTCAACCCAAATATTCAGATGTGTGCAGCGCATTTTATGGAGGACTGTTTCCTGATCCTGGTAGAGTAGACTACAATACCGGCAGTTCTGACTCAAAGACTGCAAGTACGTTTTTTATATTTAAAGAATTTGCCACTGACGATGCAAACTCTACACTTTTTGGGCAGTGTAGAGTAGGGCTTGTTGTTTGTCATTTCTTCGATCACAAATGCAGTCATGGTTTTATGTTTACGCGGCGCGATGCAACGCAACGCGTAAAAAGACAGTATAAGTTATTATAATCCGTAATTATGTCCCCATTGGATGCAACAAATGCCTAGCTTATAATGGGTTTGAATGATTTTGTCTCGTCGCTCCGGCCAGACAGGGCATCACGATATGGTAAGGGGCGTAACATTTCCGTCAAATGCTTGAGGTATTCGGCCAATCACAACGCACTGGATAGCTGGCCAATCAGAGCACACCTTGCTTTTCAGACCGATGAGCTTTGTAAAATTCGACGCGTTTCAGAAAGGCGGGGCATAAAGGAGAAACAATAATGTACAGTATGTGGAAAATGTGTTTTTTTTTTTTACTTTAAACCGCATAAACATTTCATTACACAAAATAATGTTCTTTTTAGCAGCATCAAATGACCCCTTTAAGTATTAGTGTTTCAACTGAATTGCAAAACTTCTAAATGTTATTGTTGTGACTATCCTGAACGAGTCATTTTACAGCAGGTTGGTGCTCTTGCCACATCAGGAGAATGTTATAACATTTTAAAGAATGTTGATAACATGTTCTGGTCCCTATTTACTTGCATAATATTTTCCCCCCATACTATGGAACTAAGTGGGTACTAGAAACAGCATTCTTGAAAATATCCTTTATATTCAACAGAAGAAAGAAAGGTTTGGAACAACTTGAGGGTGAGTAAATGATGACAGAACTATCCCTTTAATTCAAAATAAAACTAATATTCAATGCTACTGAAATAACACTGTGATACATATAGTAAGACCTATTTTTGTTAAGTGGATGGAGCTTAAGCAGCTTCTATCGAGAAAAATTACGGGCATGTTTTTCCTGTAACGACATGCAGTTCAGATCCAAAGAAATTCTGAACCTGTAGTTTTTTTCTCCTTGAACAAAATCAACAAGGTGTCACGATTTAAAGCATTTTATTACATAATACCTGGTTAGGCACACAAACTGTACAAAAACGAGTGCAAACTGACATAGACAAATACTATTCAGAAATATTCAGATTTTAGACTAGTTTGAGGGAACCAATAGGAAACTACAGGTTCGTTTTAGTAATCATTTCAATAACACTTGATATATGAATGTCAAATGTTCTCAGGGTTTCTGACAGTCTGTCAGGCTCTGGACTGCAGAGACAGACGTGCAGTCATGTCAGAGAGATGGCTCAAGTCTGCCAGCTGTGCCTGATGTTTGATGTACTCGAGAGTCCGAACCTGGAGAGAAGGACAGAAAGAGGTTAAAGGGGTCATATAATGCTACATGCACTTTTACAAGTTATTTGAACTAAAATATGTGTTGGCAGTGTGTACACAAAACTACCCTAAAATGATAAAAATCCACCCAGTGGTTTTTTGTTAATCAACTAAAATCTTTTACCCCTTTCTCAAATCAAGCCGATCTCAGATGCCTGTCTGTGTGATCCCTCCCACGATAGTTTGTTCAGCACAGACTGGACTGGTGTCTTACCTTAGACCCGCCCTGAGTGAGCTGTCATCAGTCCGCCATTGTGTCACCGCTGGAGCAGATGAATGACTCCTAAGCGATTGAGGTGTTCTGTTGTTGGATGTAATAATGAACATAGCAGTCGTTGTTTACTACCGACATCTGAGCCGCTGAAGACGCAGTGGATTACGTTTGTTTTTGAAGGGAATGCGCCCCCGATCTACATAAATGTGTCTATGTTCGTGCGAATCATTCGTGATCCAGCTTCACCTACAGAAGAAGTGTGTAAGGTTTTTTAACGTATCTTTGCAAATCGCCTTTCCTAATAATGTGCTAGTTAGCAAGTTTCACGATGAATAGTGTCTCTCTGAGAGCGGCTCGGAAGAGAGGGGCGGGGTCAGCATAGCTCATTAACATTTAAAGGAAAATGCTACAAAACAGCTTGCTCTGAAAAGAGCTGTTTTTGACAGGGTAAAAAAGGTGTTTTTTACACTAACATTGAGAAATTTTAACCAAACTATGTTATAGACTTTTCATTAAGACCCTAAAGAATCACATCAAGTTGTGGAAAATGGGCATCCGATGACCCCTTTAAGGCTTTGTATGTGCCGCTGAATGTAAATGCGATTGTGCATACGACTAACCGAAGTGCGCGTGTCACAGAAGCCATGCTTGTGGCTGAGGTTCCACAGGTTGACAGCCAGCTGATTGAGTTTGTTGTTGCGTAGATCACCATGAGCCAACAGACAGCCAAACAGAGAGAAAGCCAGACTGCCCTGCCTGCGCACTCCCTGAAACGCACACAAACACAGAAATAAGCCATCACATCTACAGCCATGCTAAATCAGAAATAATAACATTACACACGTTTGATTGTCCTGACAATGTGGCCCCAAACAATATTTGGATGCTTAAAATGTCTGAATGTCAAGTGGTCTCTGCAAACAAATGATGCTCTATAAAATTATATTTATATTTATTTAATTTTATATATATATATTTTTTTTTTATATATATATATATATATATATTTATATAATTTTATTGATTGATTTTTGAAGTTGTACTGGTACTGCATGAACTTTTATTCTGTTAAAAGTGGAACGATCTTACCCAGAAATATACAAGTGAAAACTTTTTACTAGTACAAGAGCTTCTTTTTCTTTTGAATTTAAATTATTGCTGAAATCAAGAGACAGTCGAGGTTTTATAAAAATCTATTTTACACAGTTCTTCAAATGTATTTGTATAACATCTTTACAGATGACCAATTAATTGATTTCTAAAATGATTAATATGAACGAAAGCTCAATGAAATGTAAAAAAACAAGTTAGTGCTGAAATTTATAACAAAATTAACAATAATGACTTAATCATGAGAATGTTTTGAAATTATATTAAAAAAATAGCTGTGGCTAATCACACATTTTTTATTATATTACTATGAAATATATACGATGTAAGAAGGGTAGAAAGAGAACAACTGGCAGAAAAATTAACCATTTTAAAATGGCCTATAGAGTATATTTTATGTCTATGTGCCCTCATATAAACATTATACTGTGCTCACTTTTTAGATAAATATTTTTGCACAAAGCTACTTCATAAGGTTTATTTTGTAAGAACCGAGAAAGGCTTGTAAAATTATCAAACAAAAACGTGCTGTTCTGCACGCACACATTCATGCAGTATTCAGAAGTAACATCTGTTTATATTTAAAATTGTGAATTGAATTTCAGACATTTTGAATTCTTGACTTTGATTTATTGTAACATGACTAATGATATCTAGTGTAAAAAACACTAGCTTCTCTAATCGTTTTGTATTCTATCTATTTCTTTGCTTTTTATTTATTATACAATTAACAAAAGCAAAAAAAGGTCTCTAACACTAGCTTGGCTCTATTATTTTTCCTATTCATTACATAATTTAAAAAAATCTTGCTATGTGTACTGTGTTAAGCTAACTGAGACTTGTTATAGCACTTGTATATCATTGCTCTCTTGTTGATTTTGATTGCTTCCATTGTCCTCATTTGTAAGTCGCTTTGGATAAAAGCGTCTGCTAAAAGACTAAATGTAAATGTAAACTCTTCTCTATCAATCAGCAGCTGCGCGTGCATTGTGGTGGCAGAAAAACACTGGTAACAAGTGGAGGGAAACGGGTAAAGTCCATGGAATAAGAGAAAAAAAATGTATTGTGCCTTTAAGTTATTGTTGTGTCAGAATCGGAATGCTAATCATTTTTATAGAATACTGTCATCAAAAATGCCATTTGAAGCTAAACGCAGACGTTTAAACGGACATCCTGCTATGATTACCCTACTTTTAAAGCATAAATTTGATTTAAACAACAGGTCTACATAATATTCACATATGCAGTTCATAGGGGACATATTGTATGAGCCCTGCAGTTACAGCATGAAATAGCCTACTATTTAAACCTATAACATTTACCTATTTTATCTCACAATTCACTTTTTTCCCTCACAAATGCAAGTTTATATCTCCTAGTTCGGACTTTGTAACTCGATTTAATTCAGAAATGGTTTGTCAATTTTGAGGGGAAAAAAGCCAGAAGTGTAGGATTATAAACTCATGATTCTGAGCCGAGGGGAACAGAGAGAATAACAAGCTGATTTTTCTTATCAGAATTGTGAGATATAAGCTCGGAATTGCAAGAATAAAGTCAGAATTTTGACACATGAACTCAAAATTACCTTTTTTTTAAAAATTATTTTATTCCATGGCTTCCATAGACTACTTTAAAACCTTTTTTTTTTTTTATTGGTCACCGAAATTGGTCTATACTGTGAACCAAATCTTCCAATGAATAACCCAGAAACTGGCCACAAAGAACACGGATGAATTAAACAACAACAAACTGTTTGGCAACCTTTGGAGCTGATTTTTACTGATAACCGATAAGTATCAGTGCTGATTAATCGGCAAACACTATATATTAGTCAACCTCTAATGTTCATTGTCAACAATCACAAAGTGTCTCAATACTAAAGAAATAAGCCCCAAGAAGTCGTGGTTTACAGTGAATTTAGAACAGCTAAGGGGTGTTGTTAGGCATGAGGCGAAGCGGACCCCATTAGCAGTTCTAAATTCACTGTAAACCACGGCTTCACGGGGCTTATTGCTTTTATAAAACGGTTATTCCATATACGTAGTAAGGTTTCACAGAATAAAACAGAGCAAATAAAGTGTAATGATATAAATAAAAACAGTATTCTTCCACCAAACAATGTAGTTGCCGAGCAACACACAGAAGTAAAGTAATTTACAAGAGCTTCGAACGCGGCTCAACCAATCAGAATCAAGGACCGGAACTATCCGTTCTATAATTTAATTCTGAACGCTATACTTATTGTTTTATTCTGTAAATCCTAAAATCTTCTATATCTTGATAGTTTGTTGTCTAATGCAGAGACATTCAAAAATGTCTAATAGTGTCTTAAAGGGGTCCTATTATGCTTTTTCACTTTTTCAACTTTAGTTAGTCTGTAATGTTGCTGAGCATAAAAAAGATCTGCAAAGTTACAAAGTTCAAAGTCCACTTCAAAAGGAGATATTTTATTTAACAGAAATCACTTTTCAAAAACTACAACGAACGACTCGTTTGGACTACAACACATATTTTCCGGGATTTGTGATATCACAAATATCGACGAATGGGACGAGACCTGGTTGAGCTGCACTAGAGAAGACAACGAGTGTTATATCACTATGTCGAAGATGCGCTAGCTTTCCCAAGGCAGACGAACTTAGAGTGGTTACAATCATTTGGGTTTAAATCGTGCTCAGATTGATTTGATTTTGACGCAATATTTAGACTGAAGCTCACAGGCGGCTATGGTAAGGAGCATGAGATTTCCCGACCAGGCGCCGAGTGCTGCCAATCACAACACACACTGGCCCAGCTAACCAATCACAGCACACTTCGTATTTCAGAAGGCATTCATTTTATACAGGAACTATTCGAGCCGTTCATGCCAGACTGAGGAGAGAGGTGTTGTAATAATGTAAAATATGTGAAAAATAATGTGTTTTTCGAACAACCTAGTATGAGAGCCTGTTCTAGTACACCCCCAAAACAAAATCAAGACTTTGTAAAAGAGCATAACAGGACCCCTTTAAGAGTCCAGCTACATTTAGAGACACATTATCTCACCTCATCTCGGCCCAGACCCTTTAAATGATCCAGAACCTGAGCGATCAGAGTCTCACACAACTTGTTGATCTCTGCGATGAACTTGGGATCTCCTCCATAGAGGGTTTCATTGGAATCCACTGCAACAAGAACACACATGCTTCCGTTTAGACTTCAATGCCAGAAAGACGTTAAACTGTTGTGTTTATTAGAGAAGATGTCTGCATTTATTCACTGCGGTACCTTTAGGAATGGTGTAGAGATAGCTTTCTTGGCTCATTGCTGCTAGTAATGGTAAAGCGCTGATGTAGACGCGGATCTTAGCGTCACTGTTGTCCTCCCAGGTGTAGTCCTGCACCATATTCAACAGCCCTCGGACCAGATACAGCACACCCTGCTCCGGATGATCCTATGAGACCGAGTCAACAATCGCACTTAGATATGCACTAGCGAGATGAGGATAAAGCACTCCTGCAAATATTTATGTATGCATTACCGGCACTACGAGCAGTGTGGAGAGGAAGTTGTTAATGAAGTCGAGGAGGAAGGGCTCAGATGACCGCTGTTTACCCTCAATGCTGATGGTTCGTGGGACTTCTGGCAAAAGACTGACTGCTGCCTTCAGAAACGCATCCGCTGAGAAATGGACACAGACATCGAAGTTTTTACATTCCATATTAAATCCACGCCATCACACCCAAACCCAAAGGCTGCTCTTTGCATTGATCTGAGGTCAGTTTTGAACACAAATGTCTGAAAGTTTGAAATCTTTAGGATCTTTTGAAAGAAGTCTCTTATTCCCATCAAGGCTGCGTTTATTTGATCAACAGTAAAAATAGTAGTATCGTGAAATATTGTTTATATAACCTTCAGAAATCATTCTAATTGGCTGATTTGGTGCTCAAGAAACATTTCTTATTATTAGCAATGTTGAAAAGTTTTTGTTGCTTAATATTTTTGGGAAAAAGCATAATACACTATCTTTCAAAAGTTTGAAGAAATTTTATTTTTTAAGAAATTAATACTTTTATTCAGTAAAGACAAATTAAATTGATCAACTATTACTGTAAAGTCTTTTATTACAAAAATACTTCTATTTTGTTACTAAAGACTTCTATTTTAAATAAATGCTGTTCTTTTGAACTTTCTATTCATCAAAGCTAATCATTTATCACTGTTTCCACAAAAATATTAAACAGCAAAGAATAGTTTACTGAGCACCAAATCAGCATATTCAAATAATTTCTGATGGATCATGAGACACTGGAGTAATGGCTGCTGAAAATTAATCTTTTCTATCATAGGAATAAATGAAATTTTATTTCACAATATTATTGTTTTTACTGTATTTTTAATCAAATAAATGCAGCCTTGGTGAGCATATGAGACTTCTTTCAAAAACGTTTATAAAATCTTAAAGATTCCAAACCTTTGAACAGTAGTGTACTTTAACTATCATTCTCCATGAGAGGCTGGAACAAGGATGTACAAGAGCATCTTCAGTCTAAGGGAGGCACCAGCACTCACCCTGGGACAGACACTGGTTGGCCAGCGCTACCTGTCCAGACAGCAGATAGAGGTTGAGACGGCTGAAGATACTGGTGAGGGACGGAATGGTGATGAAACTGTAGGCAGCACATGCCTGCAAATAAACAACACAAAACAGGCAGCAAAAACTTACTTATGGAATAAAACGGGATAATGAAGAGATCCAACATTATCAGGGGGAATAATATATATATACACACACACACACATATACATATTATGAGGCACCAAACAGGAAATAATTATGTAAAATCTGAATATATAAATGTAAATCTGAATATATAAACTTAAAATGTGAATATACAGTTATAACCACGAATATATAGATACAAATCTGAATATATAGAAGTACATCTGAATGTATAAATGTAAATCTGAATATATAGAAGTACATCTGAATATATAAATGTAAAGCTGAATTTATAAATGTAAATCTGAATATATAGAAGTACATCTGAATACATAAATGTAAATCTGAATATACAGTTATAACCATGAATATATAGATACAAATCTGAATATATAGAAGTACATCTGAATGTATAAATGTAAATCTGAATATATAGAAGTACATCTGAATATATAAATGTAAATCTGAATATACAGTTATAACCATGAATATATAGATACAAATCTGAATATATAGAAGTAAATCTGAATATATAAATGTAAATCTGAATATAGACAAGTACATGCATTCAGATGTACTTCTATATATTCAGATTTGCATTTATATATTCAGATTTGTATCTATATATTCATGGATATAACTGTATATTCAGATTTACATTTATATATTCAGATTTTATATAATTATTTCCTGTTTGGCGCCTCATTAAATTATATATATATATTTTTTTTTTTTTGAAAAAATAACATTTTGAAAAAGTTCCTCATAGGATTTACCCATTAACATTCTGTAAAGTGATACAGAAAAAAACTAACCCTGACAAAAGAAGCCGTTTTTCGTGAGTGATTGCCTTTCATTACGCATCTGGTCTCCATCGCTAACTGATTCACAGTCTGTAAAAGAAACATTCATATCATCATGACAGACATTCCATCAGCACTCCATTAGACTAACATAAGACTTTACAACCTGTAGTTTCAATCTGTTTACTGAATACTGAGGACTGAATACGAAAAATGTGTTTTAATAAGCCCTGTATCATGACACTGATCAGATACTACGGCTCTGTCAACACAGATATCATGAACGCATGAGATGCAGGCGGCAAAGTGACCTTGGTGGAAGAGATAAATTTACTACAAAACCAATACATAGATGCAAACACATACACTGACATGAAAATACAGTTGTTTGCTGATAACAAAAACATGCACTCACATTGTGAGATATTTGTATAATACAGGTTTTCCCAAACTGGAGTTTGTGAGTTGATGAAAAGCTAATAATTAATTACATAATTAAAATGGGGAAATGATGTCAGCAAGAACGGTGTTCACTTCCCGTTTCTATGGGGGAACAAATTTGAAATGACATGTTATAAAAGACAGAATTTCAAAAATTCTGCTAAAAAAACAAACACACAAACTGATGTCTCAGCTAAACAGAGCAGATAACTCACCGTGAAGTGACGGCAGGTAAACTCCACCCAGATCTCAGCACAGTTGATGTAATCCTGAGTTGAAGAACACACAGTACATGTGGATTCTATTCACTTTTGTATTCAATTCATATTACATGTTCTCTTTCTATACTGTGTGTTTTAAAACATTTATAGACCAACACAGGTGTTTACCCTTGGACTGCGCACTTTAGTGACGACCTTCCAGGCTTCGTTGAGTATGGAGAGTCTCTCACTCTCTGGAGGGTCAGCACAGGACAGACTGCGACCCAGAGACGCAAACAACAGGTGCTGAAAAAAGATAATCATGAATATACACTGTGACATAGACACTGATATTCACCAGAGCTTTTGGCCTGTCTGTAGATTTATAAGTGTGTTTTGTCACCTTGGGAAATCCAGCTTCATCACAGTCTTTGATCATGCCAATAAAGTCTGTAGCTCTCATTGCAACAAATTCTGCCCGGAATGCCCACATGACAGAGTTCAGCAGGAGAGCACTATGGGAAAATGAATGAATATTGCAAATTCAAACACCATAAATGCTGCAGTTGTGAAATCAAGATGCTAAAGTCACAACCACAATGCTAGGCTGTTCTAGGTGGTTGCTTACTGGTCAAAAGAGCCCACCACTAAGTATCTATGATATTCTCGTCTCAATGGGATTTTTTCACCTTTTTTAGGCTTTTTGATTTTTCGTCCTTCTGCTAGGCCAAAATTTGCAAGTCACTCTCTTCAACAAAACAGATTTGAGGCATCATTCCTGAGCATAGCACAACCGATGCAGGAAGTACTTGCTGAAGTTTAATATTCAGTCTTAAGAAATTCATAAGTATGAGAAATACTAATATGGATTCTTCCATAAGTAATAATTATCAAGAATGTCCGGCTCTCACAAAGTCCAATGCGACTAAACAACAAAAAGGCACCAACACTATTCACAATTAGTCTAAGCTTAATTTGTTATCATCTTATACCATCTGAACAATTAAAAATTGTCCTAGCATTAAAAAGCATTTTCGAACTTTCATAGTTCATAGAGATGCATTTTTTTCATGGTGTCAGAAGAGTTAGCAGATCTTACTTGTTGCCCAACTTCTTGCATCTATCCATCATCTCTGTTAGCAGAACCTTCAAAAGACAAACACATTTTGACTAATTTCAAAATTTTGTGTTATAGGGAAAGAATGTTCCAAGCAGTGTAAGAAATTAATTTTCCATTAAGGCTGTATGGTCTTGGCCACCGTGCTGCAGCTCAGTTTCAGGGTCTTGGCAATCTTCTAATAGCCTACGCCATCTTTATGTAGAGCAACAATTCTTTTTTTCAGATCCTCAGAGAGTTCTTTGCCATGAGGTGCCATGTTGAACTTCCAGTGACCAGTATGAGAGTGAGAGCGGTTTTAACACACCTGCTCCCCATTCACACCTGAGACCTTGTAACACTAATGAGTCACATGACATATATATATATACATATATATATATATATATAAAATTAACTTAGGAAATGTATCTATATTGTCATTTTATGGTAAATATTTAAATTTAATCAATTAATTCAATCAATCAGAATACTTTAGACTGTTACCAATAAAATATGATCAACATCGACAAAAGCCACACAAGCTGCATCTGACATGACTGTTAATGCGGCCCAAAGGTGACAAATAGCCTACATAAAGTATACAAATGAAAGATAAATATGAAGTCATTACAAGAAAAATGATAACAAAACAATTATTGTTGATTACTGCCTTTGATATTGTAATGATGATTTCTGTTGAATAATAGAATACATTAAAAACACATTGTGTGCGGGAAAATATGTCATATTCTTGTTGGCTATAGACAGACAAAAGCTGAGAACCATTATTTAATTAGTTTTTTTTTACACATTAGAAAACCAAGACTTCAAATTGGTTACTGTAGCATGAAAAACCAAATGGTTATTCAATCGGAGATATTTTGACCCCACGGGGTGAGATCTTGCGTGGAGCCCCATATCGAGGGAGATTATCAGTGGTCTTGTGTGTCTTCCATTTTCTAATAATTGCTCCCACAGTTGATTTCTTCACACCAAGCTGCTTACCTATTGTAGATTCAGTCTTCCCAGCCTGGTGCAGGTCTACAATTTTGTTTCTGGTGTCCTTTGACAGCTCTTTGGTCTTGGCCATGGTGGAGTTTGGAGTGTGACTGTTTGAGGTTGTGGACAGGTGTCTTTTATACTGATAATGAGTTCAAACAGATGCCATTAATACAGGTAACGTGTGGAGGACAGAGGAGCCTCTTAAATAAGAAGTTACAGGTCTGTGAGAGCCAGAACTCTTGCTTGTTTGTAGGTGACCAAATACTTATTTTACCGAGGAATTTACCAATTAATTCTTTAAAAATCCTACAATGTGATTTTCTGGATTTTTTTTTCTCATTTTGTCTCTCATAGTTGAGGTATACCTATGATGAAAATTACAGGCCTCTCTCATCTTTTTAAGTGGGAGAACTTGCACAATTGGTGGCTGACTAAATACTTTTTTGCCCCACTGTATATATATCCAATGCAATGGAACGCAACTTGACTTCTGAATGAAATCTTGTGTAGAAATGTACAACTGTGCTTAGATACGGCAAATGAACATGGCATCAAATGAACATTGTGTGTGTATGTCAGGTATGTACTGTAAAACACAGTAATAATACAAATCTTCTTTGTTGATAATCGTACACCTGCAGAACAGATGCAAGCTTTGCAACACTGTTGTTTGGTTTTGACTGAGACATTTTTGGTTGACAACCAAAAAGCTAATAGTAGCGCTGTCATCCTTACACATCTTCCAAACATGCAACGGAACGCCTTTATGAACACAGAGTTATTCGGTAGGAAAATTCCATGTCTGACTTTGAATTGAACATAGGATTAAATGAAAATTAAACAATTAGTCAAGCATTTCCTCTGAGTGGAGTATATGTACGTACCTCTGGTGCTCTGTATGCCACACACTGCAGGATCCAGTGTATAGCAGGCGAATAGAGAGTCAGATAGATGGGAATCTCCACCCGCTGCTGCACCAACTGATTCTGCACACTTTCACCATGAATCTGACGGAACGAGGCCAGCAGGTCAAAGAAATTCTTATTGAGACTGTCCTTCAGATGCGGCGCCACCTCCATCCCCACCTGAGAGAAAGACAGTGGTCTAGAGTCTCTATGATATGACTCGGGTTCCTCCTTCAGTTTGAATCTACAGGGGTTTTGCTTGTTTTATCATCCACTATGCAACAACTGAAAGCATGAAACACCACCTTATAGCAAAAAAAGTAGAAGCTGTAGGGAAAACCTGCTAAAATACATATTATGATCAGAGAACATTATTCTTCTCACCCTGCATAAATATGCCCGTGCGTACACAGCCACCAGCGGGTCTCCTATTCCTCTGATCATCGCTGTCAGTCTCTGCAGTGTCTCCTGAATCCCACTAATGGACAGAAAGAGGACATCAGTAACCTATGAAAATACCCACCTGCATGAACACAAGTGTTGCATTGCTCAGATACTTACGATTTTGTCAAGAAGCGGTTGCATTTCAGAAGAGCAGCTTCAACATATCTGCGCTAAAGTCAAGGGTTCACTATTAAATTCTGGGGTTCAATTCATATTTGTTATTTTTTAATATTTAAATAGTTTCTCATAATATAGACTGTATCTAATTTTACATTCAAATTTCTAAGGCCTTTAAATTATTAGCATGATCAACACTTTTACACAATCTTCTGCATGGCTTCTGTCATCTGACCGAAAGTTTATACTTTTCCAAGCAACGAAAAGGCTTTTTATTTTAACTGTAAAAACATCCACCTTCAGGCCGTGGCCCTTCACATCTTTTCTTTCTGAAATATTTACTGACTTTTGTAAAGTAAACATAAGAATAACTTTTTTTTATTGTTAGTAATATTTCAAGATAAACACTAGACTGAAGCAACTCATGTCTACTTTATTATCTATATATAATGTTTTAGAGAAATCATGTTAAAATATGAGCATCAATAATGATATCAGGCATTTGAGGAATATTTATCTCTCAATAATCATTGTATTGCATAATATTATATATTTAGAACTCATCTAATAAAACTAAGCATTTAAATATCATCTTAATAAGACATTTTACAGGGAGACAGAGTGACAACTGATATTTAAATGCATGTATTTTATGTAAATAGTTTGTTAAACTGTTATAAAGATCTGATATTTATATGGCCAAAAAGTAAGGTGAAATTCTGTTTGCTTAAAATGTAAATCTGCGAGATTTACATTACAAGCCAACATAATTTCACCTTACATTTCTGGCCATATAAATATAAGTAACTGCAAATGTATTATTTTTGCTCAGTTTGGGCCTCTGAATAAATTTGAGATTTTTCCTCCTTTAGTATGAGTTCCATATTTTCCTATATCATACAATATGAGCCATAAAACCTGATGTGATATGATAATAAAAAAAACACCCCTATTTTATATGTTAGGCTTTACAGGCTTAATCATTAAAACATCGTAGACTGGCTTTCTAAACTGTACAAGGGCTGGTGCTTTTAAAACACTGCTGTTTGTTTTAACACGCTTATTTAATTGAATCTTTTTTTAGCGTCAATTTCTGCATATGAATTATTGAAAAAGCTTAAATACTGAAATAAGAACATGGAAAAGTGTGTCAAAATCCTGCTGAAAAGATACAATCGAGGGACAAGCTCTCTGATGGAGGCGATTTTAAAGAACCAGTTGAGGCACGTCTCTTTGGCTGTGTCATTCACATCATCAGCGGAGAACGATTCTGAGAACCACATTAATGAGGAAATCAGTTTTAAAAAATGTCATAGAGATGGTAAAAGAATATGCCGAGTTGTGATGCATTTTATTTGACCTGGTAGAGGATGAGGGTCAGCACATATGGACCAGATCCTGTCATACACCAGGCTACCTGTACACATATGACATCAACAAGAGCAATAGACAGACATTTTCATTTTGTCTTGCTGCATTTAAATACAATTTTCATGTTAACCCAAAATTATTGCTGTAGTTTATCAGCACTAACAAAAGTAAATGGTGAAGCTTTTCATTTATAAAGTTAAAGGGATAGTTCACCCAAAAATGAAAATTTGATGTTTATCTGCTTACCCCCAGGGCATCCAAGATGTAGGTGAATTTGTTTCTTCAGTAGAACACAAACAGAGATTTTTAACTCAAACCGTTGCAGTCTGACAGTCATGTAATGGCAGTCAATGGGCTCCATGGCTTTGAGAGTAAAAAAAAAACATACACAGACAAAACCAAATTAAACCCTGCGGCTCGTGACGATACATTGAAGTCTTAAGACACGAAACGATCGGTCTGTGCAAGAAACTGAACAGCATTTATATCATTTTTTTTACCTCTGATCCAAACGCAAAGTCCAACTGTCCTGAGCGCGTTCACAACATGATGTTGCGTGTACGTGCTCTGGCATAGTAGACATAGATATATATTAGAGACGCACCGATTGCAATTTTCTTGGCCGATTCCGATTTTTCGTTAGTGTGATCTGCCGATACCGATTTTTGCTGATTCCGATTTTCTTTCTAAGAACTATAATTGACAGCATATACAAACAAAAATCTACTTTTCTTCAACGCAAAGTTTCTTTTCATAAAAAAACACAAGTAAAAAGTCAGTAATAAAATAAGAACAAATAAAAAAAATGGCAAACAACAGCTCAAATAAATGCAATAGAATAAAGAGAGCTATGAAACTAAGTTTTTCAGGTTAAGTAAGTTTTTATTCAGGTAAGAAATACTACAGAAATTAAAGTAATCGAATGTAAAATAACACATCCAGTGTTATTTTACATTTGATTACTTTCATTTCTGTAGTCTTCATTGTAAAAATTAAATACAGATTAACGCTTACCATTAAAGTTATAAAACGTATTTAGTCAAGTGCAGAAAATCGAATATAGATCAGTGGTGGTGCGCGCGAGTTTGGTATAAGCGCGAAACCTGCGGGAATGACTATAAGACTATATGAGACTGACCGACCGATCACCGATCTGGGCCGATCATGAGGAAAATCGGCCGATTCCGATCCCTGGCTGATCGATCGGTGCATCTCTAATATATATATATATGCCTCATTAGTGACTGTTTCTATGGGCCGCGGGAATCTACTTATATTTATCTATGTCTACTATGCCAGAGCACGTACACGCATCTTAAGACCTCAATGTATTGTCATGAGCCGAAGGGTTTAATTTGGTTTTGTCTGTGTATGTATGTTTTTACTCTCAAAGCCATGGAGCCCATTGACTGCCATTACTTGACTGAACTGATGAGAACAAACTTGCTGGGGTAGAACTGAATTACTGACGTATCAGAGAGCAGCTTGGAGCACTGACACAAAATAATGTGAAAAGGAATGTTTATTCTATTTTGATGAAGATTTGTTTTCTTTGAAATGACGCACTGATGAATCATTCACAACAAGACCAGAAAAGTGCATTATGAAAATTAATTTTGTTTTTGACCTAAAATAGCATTTGAGTGTATATTGTTGGTTTATGTGTTCACCAGTCCTCAGACCTGGATGACAATTTTCAGAGCTTTGACTTTCTGGTCTGAACCCCAGGCCTCCTTCAGAGACTGGTTGAGCTCTTCGATGCGGTTGACATAGTCCTGCTGGGACAGGTTAAGCAGCTCCCTCTGTGAGCCCTGAGCACACACAATACACAACATATTCATTAACATGTCTACCAACAAACAGTAAAGCACAAGACATCTCCAGATGAGACCCACCTCCTCCAGGTCGTCCAGTTCCTCCAGACGAGTGCGCACCTTCTCTGACACCGCTGAGCTGGGACTGGATGCTTTACCTTAACACAAACCAAATTATTAAATGTGTCTATTAAAGTTTGTTAATATCATTATTCAGATAAAAGTTATTGTACAGTACTTTATCAGCACTGGACCAACAATTTAGCAATGGATTTTTGTTTTGCAAGGGTTTTTCATTTTCATCATCATCATAGTAATAACAATTTAGAAATTTGAAAATGAATGGAGGTTTAATGGAGGACAACAACTGGAATAACTACAAACCAAGAACAAATGAAAAGAGTCTTCAAAAACTGATGAACTCACTCTTGTCCGAGCCCATGAAGAGATTCTGTAAGAGAAATAAAAGCTCCGTTACCATGTGTCAAAAGTAAAGACTGACAGGATGAGTAAAAGGTGTAAACCGCTGCACCTACTATAGACAGTTTCTCTGTGGTGGTGAATCTAGACAGGATCTCTCCACGTTTAGATGACCACGGCTCAAAGTCTGAGCCCACTTCCTCCTCTTTCTCCCTACGTTTACGTCCCAACTCCTAAAACAAAACAGTAAAAAGTGAAAAAGACCATGTTTAACAAATGTTTCATGGGTAGATCAGTTTGATGTGTATTCACAGACAGACAGAACTTAAAGGTATAGTTTATTAAATTAAAGTTCAATAATATTTAACAATATCATGGGATTCTCTGAAGTACCTTTGAAACATTTTTATGGTATAAATTGAGTTATATGATATGTACTGTAATTACCATGGTATAACTATGTGATACTGCACAAGTATATTTGATCAGAGTACTAGTGTACATAATGAATTTAATAATACTTCTACCGGTATATTTGTGTATGAATTTAGTGAATTTTACCCCAGCAGAGATGCTGTGTGGGAGAGTTGGTGTCTCAGATGCCGCAGCGAAAAGAGAGAGTGGGTCGGTCCCATCCAACATTGAGCTGAGTGGATCCAGAGCCACAGAACTAGAGGAGGAAGATGAGGAGGAAGTGCTGCCTTTCCGCCCACTACGGCGAGCTTTAGAATCTGTCACCTGAAAAGAAAAAGCCAAAATTATTTATTTATATATTATAAAATATAAAATATATATATATATATATATATATATATATATATATATATATATATATATTCCAAAATTATGATCGAACTTGCTCATTAAATTACTTTTGTTCAAAGTATTTTACAGTTCACTTATTTCACATTCAATCTTGGTTTCTTGATCAGGATTAAACTGGGCACAGTTCTTCAAAAAAGTTTAATGTGGATCAGAATAATCCAGATGTTTTGCTATCTAGAATCCCCCTCAGATACAGTTTTTTCCAGACTGCCAAATCTGGATTACCGGTGCTCTAAATGAGGCAACATATCACAATCTAGGCTACTTGCTATTGTAGAATAGTCAGCATGGGGTCAATTTAAGAGTTGTATTTTTATTTTTTTTAAATCAACAGAAAATTTAAAAAGTACAATAATATACACATACCCTTCCATTCTCAGTGACACACAACAAATAAACATGCAATAAAGGATGAAATTGTTAGAAACTATTTTTGACTGATTTATCTCTGATAAATGTGCCATTGTGATTAATATACAGTGATAAAACAATATAAATAATATTTTGTTTGAAGGATTATTTTATGAAGAAAATTTGTTTTTTCTTCTTTACTGTACAGAAAGGCTTAATAGAAAACATTTTAAACAACACATACTGAAGGTTTGATCCAGAGCAAAACTAATCTGAATCTAGAATCCTTTTTCTTCTATTGAATAACTAATTTTTGTTCAGAGATTTGATCCATTCCAATTACCAAAATCTGATCAACTTTCTTGTAAACATCTAGGCAGAGGTGATATTTAAAGGGGTCATATGATGCGATTTCAAGTTTTCCTTTCTCTTCGGAGTGTTACAAGCTGATTGTTCATAGATAAGATCCCTGAAGTTGCAAAGACTAAAGTCTCAAAACCAAAGAGATATTCTTTATCAAAGTTAAGACTCTGCCACGCCCCCCTAAAATGGCTCGTTCTAACACGCCCCCACATATCTACCTCACTATGTGGAAATATTAGCGTAATGCCGCCCAAATGTTCACGCAAAGAAAGAAGGCGTGGTTTCAGTAACCGCAGTTAGTGTTGAAGCAGCATGTCAGGGAGACGCTGTGTGTTTCTAGGCGAAAGCAAAAGCACTTTATTTGGCCTTCTGAAAGTAGATGCATTTAGGAATCTTTAAGATTACTTACAACAAAACAGCAATGCATTTTATGGACGACCATTTCGTGAACCTAGGAGAGGAGGTAATTCTGACTTTGCTATGACAATCTGGCGCTTCTGAATCAGCTACTGTTTTGTTATTAGTTTAAGTATTTGCTATTGACTGTTCAAATACGGAGTTTTGCGCATCGTGTGTGTGTGTGTGTGTGTGTGCGCGCGCGAGAGAGAGAGAGCAAGAGAGATAGAGAGAGAGAGAGGGAGAGAGAGCAAGAGAGAGAGTGCGCGAGAGCGAGAGAGAGAGACACGGGGTCACATCACAGTGGACTCAGCTGTCTTAACCGTGGCTTGTGTACTGCAAACACATACCAGCTTCATCATTGTGTCTGTCACGCGACTCTGTTCCCCTTTCGGGCTCTGTCTTTACATTTATTTTGAAAGATGAAGCTCGCGATGATGGTAAGGGGCGTTACATTTCCGACGAGTGCTTGTGGTGTTCAGCCAATCACAATGCACTGGGTCAGCTGGCCAATCAGAGCAGACTGCGCTTGTCGGAAGGAGGGACTTTGTAGAAAACGAAGCGTTTAAGAGAGGCGGGGCATAGAGGAACTACAATAATGTACAATATTTGAAAATTAATGTGTTTTTTGAACATTAAAGCATGTCAACATATTCTCTTACACCAAATACACAAAATAATGATCTTTAAAAAAGCATCATATGACCCCTTTAAAGCTTCCAACTTTGTGCAGTTGTCAGTCCAAATGTTTAACCTGCTAACTAGCAGCATTATAAGACACAAGTTAATGGCTTATGTATGACTTGGACAAGGCGATATCGAGGTGAACCGGTGGATTTTCCTTTTAGGAAATTTAAGGAAAATAGAAAATACATATTCTTGATCAACACACTCAAACGCTGTTTACTCGAAGAGGACTGAACCTTTTAATGAAAGCATTTGATGAGTTTTTAGGAGAGCTGTAGATGTACCGTGATTGCTTTAAGTGGATGATAGTCACTGAAATCCACTGCTGAAACCTCCAAACGACACATCTGCAACTCACCCTCATATTTACGGGCCCGAGAGTGCCTGTGCAGAACACAAACATATATAGAAAGATGTCATATGGACAGTCATATTAATAAGCCTGAACAACAAAGTGCTGGAAACACTAACAAATGCAGAAATTACCACGTAATACCATTATTTCAGGGCATGGCACCGTGTATTGTTTTGTGTTGTTGGACATGACTAAAAGCAGTGGTAAAAATACCATACCATACTTATTAGGTAAAATAAGTAAATACCATGGTATTCGACTGTGTAATCCTTCATGGCAGCTACCAAGGTAACATGGTAACTTATAACATTTTGATACCATCAGTTTGCTGTCATAACAGTTACACCTTCCACTAGTCTACAACAGCAATGATTAATCGCTAGCACAGATATCTTACAAAATACATATTCATCATTATTTCTCTATTCATTAAAAACGTCGCGTTAGAATTTGATAGTGTCAAAAATGTTTTTAAAATTTAAACACTTCTTACCACTGAACAGAAGCCATGTTCAATCAGTGTCATATGATCCCGAAGTGTTTGACATAAGAGTCGTGGTGTCATAATAAAAGTCACCCATTTATTTATTTCACTTATCTCTAAAAAAGCTGTACATTCCACAGTTAAAAAAAGTGTGCGCGCGTTTTTGTGACAAATGAGGACATACATTTGTATAATGACAAAGTATGACATAGGTACTACAAGGAGAAAGTGACTTTTCAGGACATTACCCCATGTCCCAACTTTTCAAAACGCTTATGAATCACACAGAATGGAGTGTATTGAAAATCTGAAATAGCACAAAGTTTCCTGTAAGGGGTAGGTTTAGGGGTAGGGTTGGTGTAGGACAATAGAAAATACGGTCTGTACAGTATAAAAACCATTACGCCTATGGAGAGTCCCCACTTTTCACAAAAACAAACCTGTGTGTGTGTGTGTGTGTGTGTGTATGTATAGGTTTTTCTACACTGGTGGGGACTTAAACCTGAATACACACCAACTCATGGGGACTTGTGTCACCGTGGGGACCTAAATTGAGGTCCCCATGGGTACAAAAGCTTATAAATCATACAGAATGAGAATGAGAGTTTTTTTGAGACTGTAAAAATGCAGAAAGTTTTCTGTGAGGGGTAGGTTTAGGTGTAGGGTTGGTGAAGGGCAATAGAAAATACAGTTTGTACAGTATAAAAACCATTACGCCTATGGAGAGGCCCTACAAGGATAGTGAACCAGACGTGTGTGTGTGTGTGTGTATAGACAGATATATAGATAAATAAATATACATACGTACACCTGTGTGTGTATATACTGTATGTATGTATGTGTATGTGCACATTTTTATCTAAAAGACATTTTTAGAGCAATGTCTCTAAAATATTTCTTGACAGATAACGTTATAACATTATGTCAGTTCATTGTCACTTTTGCACCCTTAGTTGAAACAATGTTGCAATTTCAACATAAAATCAATGTGTTATTGAATCAGCTTTATACTGTGATGTAGATTCAACATTAATGTTGCTAAACCAATCAATATAATAACTAAAATGTTTGTATGTTTTATAGTCAGTAACAATACAAATCAAACACAAAAACAACATCATAAAACAAAGGGACATAAAAAACGAATGAGGTAGATTTGTTTGAGTATATCAGGTAGTTCAATGTCAACAATTCTGTGTTTTTCTGTCAATATGGGGTGCTGTGTGTACATTAATGAGGGGAAAAAAATAACTTAAATGATTTTAGCAAATGGCTGCAATATAACAAAGAGTGAAACATTTAAGGGGGTCTGAATACTTTCCGTACCCACTGTATTTATCCTTTATTTTACCAGGAATTATCGCATTGAGATATAAACCTCTTCTACCGCGGAGTCATGGCCAAAATGGCGACGCAGAAAGTTTCACACAAACAGATTACAAGCACATAAAACCAAAGCATATAATAAAGAATAAAATCTTATCCAGCATCATTTGAAAAAAAAAAAAGCAAAACATTCACACGTTTCCTTTAGGTAGGGCAATAAACAAATGTGTATAGGCTTCATCTGAGTCTAATGAGAAAATATCACTTATGATATTGAGCACAGTCATGTGTGCTCTTAGCTTTCATGAAAATTTCAATGTTAATCCAACATATTGAAATTTCAGTCTTAATCAAATGATGGTTTGGTTACACTTTATTTTAAGGTGTCCTTATTACATATGCTACATATACTTACTATTATAACAACAATTAATTATGCATCTTAAATGATTTTAGCAAATGGCTGCAATATAACAAAGAGTGAAAAATTTAAGGGGGTCTGAATACTTTCCGTACCCACTGTACATGCAAGTAACCCCACCCTGTTGAAAAAAACAGCATATGCTGGTTAGGTATGGGATGCTGGTTTAAGCTGGTCCTTTGCCAGCACATGACCAGCTTAAACCAGCACATGACCAGCATAAACCAGCAAAGGACCAGCTTAAACCAGCTAAGGACCAGTTTAAACCAGCAAAGGACCAGCATAAACCAGCAAAGGACCAGCTTAAACCAGCTAAGGACCAGTTTAAACCAGCAAAGGACCAGCATAAACCAGCAAAGGACCAGCTTAAACCAGCTAAGGACCAGTTTAAACCAGCAAAGGACCAGCATAAACCAGCAAAGGACCAGCTTAAACCAGCTAAGGACCAGTTTAAACCAGCAAAGGACCAGCATAAACCAGCAAAGGACCAGCTTAAACCAGCAAAGGACCAGCTTAAACCAGCATCCCATACCTAACCAGCATATGCTGTTTTTTTCAACAGGGCAATCCAAACCCTAATCCTAACCCGAAGTAATCCTAACCCTACAGTAAGTACATGTAATTAATTAATATTACTCAGCACTTAAATATAATTACACTGTAACAAGGACACCTTAAAATAAAGTGTAATCGTTGTTGTTTTTTTATAATGCATACTTTACTCATATTACTATAGTAAGTACATTTCACGTGTAACAAGGACACTCCAAAACAAAGTGTCACCAATAGTTGGATGCAAACATAACATTGTATCAACGTCACCTTGCTGTCTGAGATCACTCTATCTTTGAAGAAGAGATATTCAAAGGTGTGTCGATGAATTTGTCAGCATTTGCGATGCAGTAGTGAACCTTCCAGTGTGATATTGAGAAGATCTGGAACATCTGTGTTGTCAAAAGTGATTTTGAACCTTGCTAAAGACTATTGTCTATTTATTGTTGTTGTTGTTATTATTTAATTTGGTTCTATGCAGGAAATACATAAACACACGAGTTTAAGCCATAAAAAAAAAACTTGTAGCAAGGATAACTACAACTAATTGTGACAACTACAATGTGTTTTGTGAAAGCAAATGAGAAACACTGTGCTAATTAGCAAATATTCTGTCTTACCATTCTATTCTTACCTTTCTAATAATCAAAACCGCATCCTTTTGTCCCTGGTGATTACGTCCATTCTTTGTAAAGCTATCTGGAAGAAATCTGTAGCACAATAGCAGTTCATCTTTGGTCTTTGGTCCATCCAGTCATGTTGAGTATAATGATAAAGTAGCATAGATACGATTACTCCTAAATAGAAAAAGCTCTGCAGATCATAAGATTCCCAACACTAGAAACAAATGGCTTAAGTTAATTTTAAACAAGACTATGGAACTGTTGATGTTTGAACTGTTTGATGCTAACAGTTTCAGGGGCATTTCAGCACATATTTATGAATTCATCATAATGTAATGCAGCGGTGCAAAAAAATGTGCATTACTGAAGAATGCGTCAGATTAAAAACTGCACAGTACATGGCACAAATGTAATTCCTTAGCCTGTTTCTTAATGAAGGAAAGCTCCAAAATGTGTGACTTTTAGTTCACGTTAGCTTTGAAGTTAGCATCAGTATACTAGTGTACTCCTACATTTGACTGGTAGAAAATTTACACATTGTGTTAACATTTATGGCCACAGATCAAAAATAGTTAAGTAATATTATTTTTTGTCCAATCAAATGCTCTCTAGAATGAAGGCCCCAATATATTTCAAATTAAATCGAAAAACAAAAAGGTGTGATGTCATTTTGAACAAAATCTGGGCAAAATAAGTGTTTTTGGAGTTTGTATCAGTGGTTCAAAACAGTTTGTCAGCACAAACTTCTCAAAAAACTTTACGCAGCTGTTAAACACCTTCAATGGAACAACCGATACTTTATTTCCCAAATATTAAGCAAAACACACTGTATTAAAATATGATATGAATCTTTGAGGTATTTGCTAGTAGCTTAGAAGATGAAGAACAAGAACACATCACACAAATGGTGTTTGTTGCGACCATTTTTATATCTTCTGTGCACAATTTTGTGAGTGGAAATTAATATTCTTTTCAATGTTTTTTTTCTCCATGAAAAACATCATCATCAGTCTGAAATAAAACAATTCACTCTTTGTCCTTTCACAGGCATAAAGTGAGGAAATTTGCATCTTTACATAAAGTCCACATTTCATTCTGTTCTCAATCACATTCATTCCACGTTTTCTCTCTATATATTTATATATACTTTTAGTTTGTAGAAAATCAGTTTCTGGTCATTTGAAACCAGGCCATAAGAATCAAAACAGAAGAAAAGTCCTTTAATTCCTTCTATACATTTGTCCATTCATTTTTGCGCATTTTGTCTTCACCCTCCAGCGGTTTTCCTCCCTTCATCCAAAAGGACTCAGAGTGGCCAAATCGAGGAGGACTACAATCACAGTCTGATCTGAGGAAAGAAAACAACAAAGTTCCAGCGACACACCTTTGATGCCCCCCTTAGTCTCTGAGGAACACGGGCAGAGGAGCGACAATATGAGCGCGTGCTTTTGAATGTGTCTGCTGTCGTGTCGGGGAGGGCACAAAGTCGTCAGTAAGTGGCTAATGATGTCGGCATTGACGGTTGTCATGGTGACTGCGTGGGTGGGCTACTCTGGGCAGAGCTTGGAGAAAGGGAGGGACTACAACTGCCTGAAGGGGCGCCGACGGCCCGTGAACTGATCCCACCCGAGGAACTCTCCAAACCCTCAGAGTTCTCCAACATCTCCTGGATAAGAGGAGGCATGGAGCCGGGAATCTCCATCTTCAAGGTGATCACACGCTCTGCCCCTGTGAAAGATGAAAAATTCATTTTGTTTTAATTTTATTTTTAAGTAGCTACACATGAATTTGTCTTGCAGTAAAATACAAAGTTCTGCCATGAAACTCTAGAGGGCGCAGTCCGATAGGTCTAACTCAATCTGACCTAATGACATCATTATCACATGGCACAGCTGATTGGTTCTCTCCTGTATCGGTAGCCAATGAGCTCGCTGCTCAACATTCAAATATATGACTAGTGCAGTTGCAGCTTGCTTCAGAAACCCTCCACCTTCCCCAGCTCCACCTGTATAGATCTGCTACGAGGGGATTCATTTATGCTATATGGGGGTTATTTCATGTATGTTATATTTGCAGCAGCAATATTTCTTACATGCTCACAGCAGCATGTTGTGGATGTAATGGCAGTAGCAAGTCTCGGGACTTGCTCTGCCGCAGCAGCAGCGTAGCAGATCTATTCCGTCAAGACCAAATACATTAACATTGTCATGTACATTACCATGCCAATCCCTCTGAGAGTTGTCATGACAGAAATAGGATTAGAACTCATCCATGAATAAGTCATGCGAATGAATTCGACTCACCCTTGGCACTGATGCTCCTCAGGTCGGTGATCTTCATCAGCATCTTAGGGAACATGTGAGGTTTGTGTGGCCTCCTGTTCCTCACATAGATCTTCAGTGCTTCCAGCAGAGGTTCCTGCAGTACATCCACCTTATCGGCTTCCTCCAGGTCCTGCCGATCTAAACAAACCAACAAACACCACTTCATATTCGGCTCAAAAAGCTCACAGGTTGTGGTAAGAGAGCTTATAGGCACACATTCAGACTGAGCAAATCATGGAGAATCGATGCTTTTAGGGGTGAATCTCAAGAAATCTGTCAAGAACTTTCAGGTCATCTTTCACCCAAAAAAAAAAAAAACTTGCTTAATTAGAGTAGATTTTTTTATTGTATTGTGACATTATCTATATTCTAATATTTTATCCCAGAATTCTGGATACCGTTAATTATTTAAAAAAAATCTATTTTGTATTTATTTTACAGTCTTTAATTATGATTTTAGTAAAAAAAAAATAACAATAATTTATATATATATACACATATTCATGCTTCCTTCTGCTGACCAACTTTTTGAAGATGCTGATTTCATTTTCCAGCAGGATTTGGCACCTGCCCACACTGCCAAAAGCACCAAAAGTTGTTTAAATGACCATGGTGTTGGTGTGCTTGACTGGCTAGCAAACTCACCAGACCTGAACCCCATAGATAATCTATGGGGTATTGTCAAGAGGAAAATAAGAAACAAGACCAAAAAATTCAGATGAGCTGAAGGCCACTGTCAAAGAAACCTGGGCTTCCATACCACCTCAGCAGTGCCACAAACCGATCACCTCCATGCCACGCCGAATTGAGGCTGTAATTAAAGCAAAAGGAGTCCCTACCAAGTATTGAGTACATGTACAGTAAATGAACATACTTTCAAGAAGGCCAACAATTCACTAAAAATGTTTTTATTGGTCTTATGAACTATTCTAATTGGTTGAGATACTGAATTGGTGGGTTTTTGTTAAATGTGAGCCAAAATCATCACAATTAAAAGAACCAAAGACTTAAACTACTTCAGTCTGTGTGCATTGAATTTATTTAATACACGAGTTTCACAATTTGAGTTGAATTACTGAAATAAATGAACTTTTCCACGACATTCTAATTTATTGAGATGCACCTGTATATATCAGTTATTTTTTTAATGTATTATTTTTAAATATCATAAAAACATACATTAGATAATAATCTTGCATTATTATATTATTTAAATTGCCCAATAAATACTAAAAGGATTTTGTAAATATTGTCTTTAATAATGAAGATTTTGGAAGAAGAAGAAAATAAAAACAATTGTTACTTTAAAAATAATTGAAAATATTTTTACTTTTTAGTTTTAAAATATCTTTATGTAAATGATTTGAATGGAAACAGGTTCTCTTCATGATAAATATAATTTCTTCTTCTGATTTTGTGGTGAAATCTGACCTGGCCATGTTTTCATGAGACTATATTATATGTTCTATGAGCATGAGAGGTGCAAATACCATCACCAAACACTGCACGGCACTAGAGGTCCATGTATCAAAAACATGGAAATTTCATGTGACACTAAAGACTAATGGCTAAAGAATAATGGTTGCTGAAAATTCGGCTTTGCCATCACATGAATAAATGACATTTTGAAATATATTAAAATAGAAAACTTCTTTTAAATTATAATATTTCACAATGTTATGGTTTTTACTGTATGTTTCATCTAATAAATACAGCCTTGGTGAGTATGACAGACTTCTTACAAAAACATTAAAATAATCATATTATTTCAAACTCCAGCATATAACACTGTGCACCGTATGTATGAATGCAAGAAATGCCAAAACAGTACCTCCACAGAGCAGGCAAATAGCACTGAGCAGTCCCGTCTCTGCATCATCCATTTCTAGCGGTAGTAGCTGATTGGCGAAGGCGAACACCAGGTCTGTTAACGGACCGAAGCCAGCATTGTGCATCTGTGTTCGGTTCAGCGTTAGCCCGTCAGAGAACGTCATGGTGTCTTGATCAGGCGTATAGCGGGTACAGATCCTCAGAATCTAAAAACAGAAACAGAGAGGAGACGTGTTGGTCTTAACTCCGCATATTGTTGATCACAAAAGAAGAGGTTTTTTTTGAAGAATGTAACCAAACAGTTGATGGTCCCCATTGACTTCCATAGTATTTTTTCCATACTATGGAAATCAATGGGGACCAGAAACTGTTAACTGTTTATTTAGCCATATTCTTCTAAATGTATTTATTTATTTTTCACACAGGTTTAAAACAACTTTTAGCTATGCCTTTCATTAACAATTTTATGATGAAGTACAAGTGCACTTTTTCACAAGGGAATGCTTGTGGGATTAGAACCTACAACCTTCAACGACTCAAATGGGACCCTCAGTCTGTTTTCAGCTTTAGTGATATAATGTAGCCCCGCTGTGAGGCCAGCGCAGGCTTCGAAAAAGCTGGGTTAAGTGTGTGTTCTCACCAGTATGTCGAGGCAAGCGGCTTTCAACAGTGTGATCTGGTCTGCGATTGTGAGGGTGGTGAATCCCGGCAGCTGCTTGGCGAACTCCACCGTCTTTATGATGCACTTGGTGGAGAGCTCGCTGAACTTATCCCACAAATCCACGTCCAGTGACACGCGTCGCTCTGAGCTGTTACTCTATACTCAGAGAGAGGCAAAATTCAAGTACACTAGACCGCTACGGTAAATGTTTAATAGCAGCATCAATAATGGCTGAAAGAGTGGCATATGAACTCTGGCTGTCAGCTTCAGTGAAATCTGCTTGTAAACAGAAGCAGAATCAGCACAGAGTTCTGGGAGTTATTGGCAAACTGACACATACATACATTACGTGTAATCCAATGATTTCACTAGGGCTGGTGATATGGCTAAAGAATGTCAACATTTGTCAGACTTTTGATGATATTTAATGCATCTCTTAGGATATCTCTTATTTATGTCAATATTTTTTAACCATCATTTAAGCAACGTTACCAATGTAAAAAAATCAATGGAATCAAAATGAATTCAAGGAAGAATTATCAGGCATGTGAATAGTGAAGGCCAAAAAATTCTTCCCACACATTTTTCTAATTGAGAAATATATTACTAATGCAAAAATAATATTGTACTGTAAAACAAAAAGGAACAATAATAATAATAATTTACAGAACAACAGTAAAATTTCAACAACAACTAAAAATAATTATTTGTGGCTGTTTTTACTCATTAAACCATACAGCTTTTATTTAAATAAACCTACATATATTTTTACTAAAGCATGTAAATGAAAGAAAAATGCCACCCAGTGATGTCTGTGAACATTTTTGAGTGACGATGTTGAAAAATACATAAAGAAATGGGTTATGAACAGCAAAAGGAAAAACCATCACAAATATAGTGAACATTTAGTATATCATTCAGCCCTCGCACGCTCTTACCGTGGTGTATTTGCCGAGTTGACAAAGCGAGGGGAAGGTCTCTTGGTGGGCTTTTCTGATTCTGACAATCATCTGCTCTGTGTCTGGGCTCAGTGTGTAGCTTTCTGTACATTCTTGCTTTTTCTCTTCTTTCTTCTTCTTATTCCTGTCGTTCCTCACTGCTATACAGAAAAAAAGACAGACAACAAAGGTCAATGTTGATTGTACATATTCTAATGTCTGTTAAAGGTTCTTAAAGGGGTCATATGATACAATTTAAAAAATGTTCTTTCTCTTTGAAGTGTTACAAGCTCTTGGTGCATAAAGAAGATCTGTAAAGTTGCAAAGACTAAAGTCTCAAATCCAAATAGATATTCTTTATAAAAGTTAAGAGTCAACCACGCCTACCTAAAACGGCTCGTTCTAACACGCCCCCACATGTCTACGTCACGATGTGGGAAGATTTGCATAACGCTGCCCAAATGTTCACGCAAAGAAAGGCGGCGTAACTTTTATTCTCGCTGTAGTATTGTTGCTGCCGCCGCCATGTCGTGAAGACGCTGTGTGTGTCGTTGTGAAAGCGAAACTACTTTGTTTGGTCTTCCAAAAGAGGATGATATCTGCTTCGTCATGCCAAGAGCTGATCTGTGCTGGTCGCTGAGGAAATACATCAACTTCGCGCTGTGGATCACCGGATTGGCTTTCACCGTGGACAAAGCGGAGTCCAGCCCGGGGTCGTCACATGGGGTTGCCGCAAGCCTACCGGCTGCGCCGTTCTCAAGCCCGCCGGCCTCCGCTCACTCTAGCCCGCGGATGGACAACGCTGTGTTTCGTTGTGAAAGCGAAACTACATTGTTTGGTCATTCCAAAAGAAGACACGACTAGAAATCAGTGGTTAAGTTGTATTTACAGAACAGTTCAACCCAAATATTCAGATGTGTGCAGCGCATTTTATGGAGGACTGTTTCCTGATCCTAGAAGAGTAGACTACAATGCCTGCTGTTCTGACTCACAGACTGTAAGTACGTTTTTTATATTTAAAGAATTTGCCACTGATGATTCAAACACGAGTTTTGAGCAGTGTAGAGTAGCGCTTGTTGTTTGTCATTTCTCCGATCACAAATGCAGACATGGTTTTATGTTTACGCAGCGCAGCGCAATGCAACGCAACGCGTAAAAAGACAGTACAAGTCATTATAGAGCGTAATTATGTAAAAATGCCTTGTTTATAATGGGTTTTCATGTTTTTGAATCATCGCTCCGGCCTGACAGGGCATCATCACAATATGGTAAAGAGGCGTAACATTTCCGTCACACGCTTGAGGTATTCGGTCAATCACAACGCACTGGATAGCTGGCCAATCAGAGCACACCTCGCTTTTCAGACCGATGAGCTTTGTAAAAATCGACGCGTTTCAGAAAGGCGGGGCATAGCGGAGAAACAATAATGTACAGTATGTGGAAAATAATGTGTTTTTTTAACCTTAAACCACAAAAACACATTTCATTACACCAAATACACAAAATAATGTTATTTTTAGCAGCATCAAATGACTCCTTTAATTCTTCTTCTTTATAATAACAAGTTATACAATATGTTAATTTCTTACAAAATACAATTCTTGATCTTAAGATGACATTCAAATACGTAGATCATCATTTACATTCAAAACAGATATATTAAGCTGTCCCTCTAGTCATTTTTTTGTCTTGAGCATATCTTAAATGAGTCACGTCTTTGTAAGAACTATAAAATTTAGTAAAGAATATTTTGGCCCTCTTGTTAAAAATAATAAACTACATGTGCCTTGCATAATAATAATAATAATATTTAAGTTAAATTGCATAATTAATTTTAGATAATTTTTATTAAATATATTTTCATCAAGCACAAATAACTCAATAATAATAATAATAATAATAAAAATTATTAATAAGTTATTTTTAATTGAACATTGGTGTTGTTTATAATATTAAATTCTAAAATCATTTAATCACATTTTATCATAAATTGTATGATGACGTAATTTCAGGAGAAAATGAAGTTGGCAGGAAAAAAACATGCATTTATTATTATTACTACTACTTTTTATTGAACATTGGCATATTTTACAATATTTAAAACATTTAATCATATACTGCATTATCATCACAACATAAATTTGCTATCACAGTGAGATGTGTGGCCATGCCATTTCAGAGAGAAATGAAGAGGGCAGAAAAGAAAAGAGATCTCAAGAAGACAGATAGGAAAGAATGAGTGATGGGTGGAACAAAACAAAAAAAAGAGAGAAAACTTGCATGCGTAGCAGTGAAAGGCCGTTTGAGATACAGTAAGCAGCAGTAATGGAGTGAGATGAGACAGACGGACAGATAGAGGAAACGTGTTAGAGCCAACACATCACATCTGTGAAGACAAACCACGAGGGGAGGAAAGGCGTGAAAGAAAAAAAAGGTGTTCAAGGAAGAAATGCCATCACACCTCCTCCATCACTACCATCTCAAACACACACTCTCTCTCTCTCTCTGCAGGGTGTGTGTTTGTAAGTTTGATGAACAGAGCGGGTGGATGAAGTCGTACATAATGCTGATAGATCACCACAGGTTTCATTAGACCATGAGCTAATCTAATCTCGTTATATGACATGCACACACACACACACACACACACACAGTAATGCCATGGCATTATTTTCTCTCCAATCTCCGCTAACACTCGGACCTTCACTGCATCCCTCTCTCAGGCCTCTGGAGATGTGGAATTAATTCCTAAATAAAAGTGGGCTATCTTAACGTGCCTACATTAGCCCCTATGACAGATAGGCACAGCGATCATAAGCTGCAAAACACAATTTAATGAAGTCGTTAAAGAACTATTAGCCTGGCTGCACCATCACTCATGCACAAGCACTACTGAGAGACCTGCAGAGAGAGAGGGGGGGTGGGGGTGGGGGGACGGCTCTTTCTCCAGCAGTATGATGTGTATTATGTGTGTTTTTGGAAAGGTGATTTTTGCACACTGGAATCGGTGACGATATGGCCAGAAACATGCCAGAAACGTGTTCTATGCAAGTACGCAAACGCCAAGTGCACAGTTCTGCTGTTTATACTTAACACACGTTCTTGAGTCACTATGGCGGTAACAAACCCAAGGGGCCAATAGAGTTATGTTCAGATGTCTGTGCTATTAAAACAGTTGTGCATAACCTGAGATGCAATATGAACTGTGCTTTGACATTTCAGACTGAAACAATGTGTGAAATTGAGCTTAAGTGTCTACGTACTTGCGTAGAGGTTTTGGGGCCTGTGTATTGTGATCTCAACATCACTGCAGAAAAAAATACACACAAAAATACAAACGAGGTGGAAATATCAGTGTTATACACTGACGGGGCGTAAATATCTGCTCTGAGAATGATTCAATTACAATTATGATTCTTTACTAAATGATGCAATTGAAAATGGAACCATGATTTAATTGTTTTTAATTGATTTAAGTTTTGGTAAGATTCTTTATCATTTTCAAAAATATGCTGAATGAGGGCCATATGATTTCAGCGATGCGGGAAACACGGAAGCATAACCCAGTCATTTAAATGCAATTTACTGTGTAATGCGGAATGTCACGGAATTTGGCAAATATACACTTAATAAAATCGCAATATGGACTAGTGTCTGTGAATATTATAGACTAAATTTAGATATGAAGTCTGCTTGCTGTGAATGAGAATGAGAGACATAGTTGCATTTACTACAAATACTCAAACCCGCACGACAATCATGTATTCATACTTAAGGCATTAAAACTGAATTTAATAATGCTTGATTATTCGACTAATAAAAAAAATAAAAAACTAGTTTAACAGATCAAAAAACAATGGTTAGCCGCAGCCTTAATTCCAATATTAAACATAAAAACAATAGCCGTTCATTATCCATCTCCACTGATGGTTATGATTTCCTTCCGCTATTCATTGCTACTTGATAAAAGTGCCACCAAGTCATAGTTTTATGTAAGAGCAGTGGCTCTTGGCACGTGACTAAAAGCGCAAATCTCATTGGTCGGCTGTTTTCCTCACAGTGTGATGGAAAAGAGTTTAGAACCCATCTGTTACATTGACAACATGCAAATGCTCATGTCAGTCTGAACAGATGCATTAAGAACTGCGGATTCAAATTAAAATGTTTATCGCCAAACATTCGTCTTGGTGTGAACGGGCCTTAACGCTCACATATGTCTGTTTCAGGGTATGTGTGTGTGTGTGTGTGTGTGTGTGCATGTGGCTCTTGGCAGGGATAATTTTAGAGGAGAAAATTAAAGCGCTGGCAGATCGTCCATCACAAAGATGAAATTCAATGAAAAGATAAAAATGTCAATGTTTCCTCCCTCCGCTCCCGCTCTCTCCACTCCTCTTTTTTTCACAATTTCTCCTCCTCCTCAGCAGCGGCAGATGAGTTGTGTGTCTAATGCATTTGGAGCAGAGAGAACCCAGTGTGTTGTGTTGAAAATCAATGCATGTGTGTGTGTTTTATTACAGAAGTTGCGCAGGAAGTGAAGTGCGAAAATGCTGCTGTGCATCATTTTGTAAATGTACTCTGTGTCAAGAGGTGTGAATTCCTATGAACTCACAAGTGTGTGTCGTGTCATTGTGAATGATTTGATGGGTCATCTGCACGGCAACACTATCTCGACATGATGCCTGTAGACATCCATGTGCATGTAAATGTCAGACTTGTCCATAGCGTCAAGCTTGACATGCACATGATCACTGAAAGACCTACATGAAACCTGTCAAGAACAAATGCTGGTCACTAACCCATGAAGTACATGTCTAGTTTAAAGATCATTAAGATTTTTTTCATGACCGTATATCTTAATACTGTAATAACACTAATAAAATACTGATTGCTGTAATGTGAAAAAAATTTATGTATACATACATTTTTTATATATATATATATATAAAAAATAACTCCATTTAAGTAACAAAAATTTTACAAGAATCATCACTGAGAATAATCTGGGTGCATTACAGTAATAAGAATTTTGGGGAAAATAAAATAAAATGAAAATAAAGTCATAAATTTATGTAAAACATATTTTGAAGGGGCTGTGAATTCATTAAAAAGTTCAAACTAATTAATGACATATGCCGAAAAAGAAAATTAATGATCCAGTTTAAGGCAACATAATATTAGCTGAAAAAAAAATAGTGATGCATCGAAATTTCGGCTTAAAAAACTATTGTGCTGGAAATTGGAGTTTTGGAGGGCCGAAAATATTGACCGAAACGATGATGTTTAAGTAGCGCTTCTGCAATGGCGTTTCTATTTCATACACACAACGTGGATAAGCTACAACACGACATGAATGAAATCATGTCTCATGGAATCACTAAATCAGAGTTTCAACTGCAGAAAGATGTCTGTAAAACAGTTACATTTACCTCAGGAAAGCCATTTAATGTCCAGTCAATGTGCAATTTACTTAACATGTCTTCATTATGTTTGAATAAAACGTGTATAAAACAAGTTATTACAGCCATCATTTAAATATTTAAATATCGATTTTTTTAATATTAACTATCATTTCTTAAATTGTTTTTTTTTATATATTTCAACAAATCTGAGTAGAAACATTTATATAATTAAAAAGTTAATAAAAATTTACTTTTTTGTATGTATACAACTTTATTTGTTTATTCATTAAATGTAATTATTAAAAACTTTATTTTTTGTTTCAGTTTCGGATTTTAATTAACATCAAATTTGTTTCAGTATAAATTTTATTTCAGTGCATAACTAATTATTATTTTATATTACTATTGAAACTTTTGAAACTATTGAAAAAGAGCTATTTCTTTTTTTGGCTTTTGGGGTTAATGTGAGCTTGACGTGTCACCCAGATATACACAAACTTGGCATGGGCCGGGATGAGATTCTGACGGTATGATAACCTTAGATAAAAATATCACGGTTTCACGGTATCACGGTATTGCAATTACAGCTCTAAAATATGTTATTTTTAAATGTCTGGGTAAAAAAACAACTTTTTTTCCCCACTGAATACATTTTATTTTTAAGAAACATATAGAACATTTTAGAACAGTAAACATGTCAGGCTAAATCATTAGAATAAATAATTAAATTCTTCTTAATTAAATGCAGTCACTTAAGTGAGCCTAAACCTGCAGCTCAACAATAATCAGAACATAAATAAATTATTTTCTGTAAAAAGAAAATCCCTATAAATGAAAAAAATGCAGTCACCTAAGTGAGCCTAAACCTGCAGCTCAACAATAATCAGAACATAAATAAATTATTTTCTGTAAAAAAAAAATCCCTATAAATGAAAAAAATGCAGTCACCTAAGTGAGCCTAAACCTGCAGCTCAATAATCAAAATTGTAAAAAATTCTGTAAAAAATAAAATAATTAATAAAAAATGCATGCATAAACCTGCAGCTCAACAAGGTTTTTGGAGACATGCTCGCTTTCTACCCATTCATCTTTCAGTCCAAGTTATGATGCAGGAATGTTCACCTTTCCCGGATTAAGTTTGGAGCGGTGAGGTACGAAGATGTGTGCACATACACACATAAGGAAAGAGAGAGGTACGGTCTCTCCGTACAACGCTCAAACAGTGGCAAATTTTTTATTTTTTTTTTGAAATGCGTGATTTTGAACAGATGTAAACAATGGCAGGAGGCTTAAAAGTATAGACGTGAGACCAGCCAAGTTTAATTATTGTACTAAATCGCAGAAAATTAGGCTACAGTACGTACTTTAGACCAGTGTTTCCCAACCTTTTTTTAGTCGCGGCACCCTTTGGAAATTTAAACAAACTTGTGGCACCCTACAAAATTAATTTTGTGTTTCCTGTCGGCTCAATTTTAGAGTGGACTTTGCTGTTCCGATGAGCATGAACGGTATACGAGTGGAGCGACTGAGCGGAGTGCACACCACATGAAAGTGAAACCTGAGCGGTGAACTCATTTTTGGCAGCCGAAATTGCGGTGCAACTCTAATTATTGGCGACATCAGAAATGGATATTATATAATAGATGCTTTAATTTAAAAATATTAAAAAATATATTTTTTTACACGGCACCCCTGCTCTCGACAGACGGCACCCCGGTTGGGAAACACTGCTTTAGACTGCTATTCCTCACTCTGTGAAGTAATGTGAGGGAGGAAACTAGTTGACGTTAGCCAGTTAATTAGCCATGTTATCTGCCTCGGTAGCAAGCCAAATAGTATTTATTTCAACACTGAAACAAACGGTGGGTGGGTCTCTGTCTTGATCGGGGGTGAAAGAGGGAGAAAACCGAAGATGACACAGATATATAGTTTATGTTCGACTTGGAAGTATATTCAAACGTCATCTGTACGGAACATCATTGTGTACGGAACATGGTTAGTCTACGTTACCCAAAAAATTCCCATACGACAGACTTCGTCTCTTTCGATGGGGGAAAAAGTTCCAGGGATTCATCTCCTTCGGCCATCCTACACACAGGTGACTCCGCCCACCGGAGGGGGAGGGGTCGTGTGACTCGCTACACTCTTCGCTGCACAGCACACAACTGAGCGAGTCCTGCACTTTCCGTCTACCATCTTTGACGACACGTAAAAAAACTGTGCATACCGCAGGACCGGTATAACGGAAAATTTTTGAGGTTTTGAAACCGTGGCTTTTCCAAACCGCGGTATACCTTGAAACAGGTTATCGTCCCATGCCTAACACACACCCTCTGACATGATGCCAGATTGTTCCCTATCCCTCTATAAAAACACGCCATTTGTGTCTCTTTCTGCAGTGGAGACTCATGTCCACTTGATGGTAAGAGCACTTCGAATCTATCTGGAAAGATTTCTGAACAAATGCACATTCACAACTTCTGCTGTAGACCTGTGAGTGTGAGTGTGTGTGTATTTTCTCACCTCTCCCAATTAACTTCTCAAGTCTGACAGTGCCTAGCTGTGTGGAGACGTGTTCTCGTATAGCCAGAGGGAGGCACTGACTGTGTGTATGTGTACTCATATCTCTACTTGCTGTTTCATATTTTGGCAAGAGTACTTCAGCTGTGGAGAGAGTATTACTGATGCATTGCTCACATTCTTTGGACATTCCCACTTCCAGGCACTTCTGCAGCCGGCAGTATTGACAGCGGTTGCGGGTGACTTTGTTGATGATGCAGTTCTTCTCTCTGTGGCACGTGTAGATCATGTTCTTCTGAATACTTCGCCTGAAGAATCCCTAAACACAAACAACACAATTTGGACTGTGAGACAAACTCTATGAGATGCAAGAAAATGCCAGTCATTTGTCAAAACAACTAGATGTTTACATCTGATGGTGCTTTTCCCCTACAACACGCATAGCCATAATGTTAAAGTATTGTTGGTGGTTGTTAGGCCATTGATATGTGGTTGCTAAAGAGTTCTGAGTGGTTGCTAGGGTGTTACTATAGTACTTTGGATGGTTGCTAGGATGTTGCTTACTGACCAAAAACAAAAAGCCCACCCATAAGTCTTTACGATATACTTCCTTCAGCGTAAGTCTATGAGAATCTTTTGCCTTTAACATCAACCAGACAAAATTCTAGGTCTGATCAATAAAAATAAAAAAGCATGTATGTTTGAAACACAAAAGAAGATATTTTTTATATAAAAAATTTAAAAAGAAGACATAAAACTTGAAAGATTTGTTCCTCTATTGAAAAAGCATAAACATTCAATCTTAAAAAAGTTCATAAAAGGATCGTAATCCATGTGAATCAAGCTTTGTATAGTCTCATGAAGAGACACAATCGGTTTATACACTGAACAAAATTATAAACACAACACTTTTGTTTTTGCCCCCATTTTTCATGAGCTGAACTCAAAGATCTAAGACTTTTTCTATGTACACAAAAGGCCTATTTCTCTCAAATATTGTTCACAAATCTGTCTAAATCTGTGATAGTGAGCACTTCTCCTTTGCCGAGATAATCCATCCACCTCACAGGTGTGGCATATCAAGATGCTGATTAGACAGCATGATTATTGCACAGGTGTGCCTTAGCCGGGCCACAATAAAAGGCCACTCTAAAATGTGCAGTTTTACTGTATTGGGGGGTCCGAAAACCAGTCAGTATCTGGTGTGACCACCATTTGCCACACGCAGTGCAACACATCTCCTTCGCATAGAGTTGATCAGGTTGTTGATTGTGGCCTGTGGAATGTTGTTCGCAATAAAACTAGTCCAATCGCGTTTCGAGGTGGGTTGGCGACCACTGCTTTAGAGAAAAGTATTATCTTTCTTATTTTTACCCAAAATATGGTGTTGTGAGCATTACTGAGTTATGTTATGAAGTTAATATGGAGAAAAAGCATGTAAATAAATTAAAATATCTTTGTTGGACAACAGGTTTGTAAATGACTCATACACATGTAAAACTGTGTCGCACACGTGCTACTGTAGCACATTTACTCAAGGCTCAGACCGATTTTTTCATCTTTCAAAATAAATGTAAAGACAGTAAATAATGTCATTAGTTTTACCATCAGTTCAAGCCCGAAAGGGGAACAGACACAGTAATGATGCAGTACACAAACCGCGGTTAAGATAGCTAACTCCACTGTGATGTGACGCTGTCTCTCTCTCTCGCTCTCTCTCTCTCTCTCACACACACACGATGCGCAAAACTCCGCATTTGAACAGTCAATAGCAAATACTTAAACTAATAACCAAACAGTAGCTGATTCAGAAGCGCCAGATTGTCATAGCAAAGTCAGAATTACCTCCTCTCCTAGGTTCACGAAATGGTCGTCCATAAAATGCATTGCTGTTCTGTTGTAAGTCATCTTAAAGATTCTTAAATGCATCTACTTTCGGAAGGCCAAATAAAGTGCTTCTGCTTTCGCCTAGAAACACACAGCGTCTCCCTGACATGCTGCTTCAACACTAACTGCAGTTACTGAAACCACGCCTTCTTTCTTTGCGTGCACATTTGGGCGGCATTATGCTAATATTTCCACATAGTGAGGTAGATATGTGGGGGCGTGTTAGAACGAGCCGTTTTAGGGGAGCGTGGCAGAGTCTTAACTTTGATAAAGAATATCTCTTTGGTTTTGAGACTTTAGTCTTTGGAACTTCAGGGATCTTATCTATGCACAATCAGCTTGTAACACTCCAAAGAGAAAGGAAAACTTGAAATCGCATCATATGACCCCTTTAAGTAGCTTCACATAGAAGCGGACAATAACTATGCTAATGAAGGGGGCAGTGCTGCAGCCATGACCGCAACACTCAGAAGACTAATTAGCCATGGGTGACCTCAAGATTTTTACCTCAAGATGTGTTTTTATGATGGGGTTTTTCAATTGTTGAGTAAAACATGGTCTGTTGTAAATTCCTGATTCTTCGACGTTTTGAAAACGCGAATTTTGAAGCAGTAATAAGTAACTACATAAGAATGTTTGAGGGTGAGCTTGAAAATGGCCAAGTATTGTCAAGTTATGTTTACATGTACTTCACTAACACTACTATACCCTGTGTAAACAGTATTTAGTTATTCTTCTCTACTTTTTAGAAGAAGAAAAAATAGCTTACTGAAAAAACTGACACTACTGTATTTTTAAAACAGCTGACTACTAAGCTAATTTAGTTGTGTTGCTAGTTTTGGGTCAAGCACATGCGGTGTGAGTGAATGAGAATGGGTCACGCCACTCACCTTGCAGCCCTCACAGGCACTGACGCCATAGTGGTACCCTGAAGATTTGTCCTGACACACAAAGCAGGGCTTATAGATGCGAGGAGGAGGGGGCGGAGAGGGTGGGCTCGGGACGATCTCCTCTGAACTCGTACTCTGGGTTTCGATAGCTGTGAAAGTGAGAGAGTTTATGGGTCAATGACATGACTTGTGTGTGTGTGTGTGTGTCTATTATTACTGTATTCAAAATACATAAAAAATCTATTAATTCAGACTGTGACTCGAATACATCTTTTCTATTATGTACATGTTCATTAAATAAAAATTAATTTTAATATTATTTTTGTCAAGCATATAGTCATTAAAATAAATCTTTTCTTGAAAATTGCTTTTCCATACCATTAAAAAAATGAATAGCCCAAATTCTAGAAACCATTAAGCAGACTTTCCTATTTATCTAGGAGGCATCCCTGACCCTGACCCTGACCCATGTGCTGGAGCATCACATTGCAGCGCTGCTGTGTGTGATTAGGAACATTACAAGAGAGATCAAAGACATAGTCGTCCTGAAGCAGCTCCTCTAGAGGAACCGAGCTTCTGTCAGAGAGACACAAATGATCTTAGCGATGTACATGTTCATTAAATAAAAATTAATTTTAATATTATTTTTGTCAAGCATATAGTCATTAAAATAAATCTTTTCTTGAAAATTGCTTTTCCATACCATTAAAAAAATGAATAGCCCAAATTCTAGAAACCATTAAGCAGACTTTCCTATTTATCTAGGAGGCATCCCTGACCCTGACCCATGTGCTGGAGCATCACATTGCAGCGCTGCTGTGTGTGATTGGGAACATTACAAGAGAGATCAAAGACATAGTCGTCCTGAAGCAGCTCCTCTAGAGGAACCGAGCTTCTGTCAGAGAGACACAAATGATCTTAGCACATTCACTGAACACGTGTAACACATTTGTGCAGATGATAATTAGCCACCCATCACACATCAAAACAAGAGACGAACACTGTTACCAACACCATTCAAACCACTCATGGGAAGGTGAACAGACAGCTCTAGCTTCTAAGACGGGTTTCCTACTGTTTGTTTTGTGCCACGGCAACTACAAACATCTTCCACATTTATAGTAACAGTAGTAGTAGTGGTAGTAGTAGTAGTAATAAATAAGTAAATACAATTACTACTAATTCTACTACTAATTATTATTATTATATTAAGTTTTTTTTATTTTATCTAACAATTATTCAATATAAAAAATTAGGTGTATTAATATTATTAAACTAATTATACTATTATTAATTATATTTATGTAACATTAATATGATTGTTATTCAGTTTTCTAATTTTTCTATTATTTAAAAATATTATTTAACTTAGTATATTTTTAATTATATTAATGTATTATTGATTCGATTATCTATTATTACTATTAATATATTAAGTTTTCTCAAATTCCTTTTATCTAGCAACAATTATGTATTATTAAATAATAAGTACAATTATATTATTTTTATTTAAATTATTCATTTTTAAAGAATTATTTATCCAACACTTTTATTATTATACTATTAATAATAATAATTGTATCTTATATTTCTTGAACAACAACAACAACATTATTATTATTAATAATAATAATAATTAAAAAAATCAAGCATGAAAATAGCCCATATGATACCACAGCAACAATTTTCTTAACCCACATGTCTCTGTATCACACAGAATGATTACTGTATATCAGTAAATCAGACGAGTTTATTTTTATAATGTGGCACAAAGGAAGATTTCCAGCATTGGATCACAAATCATATTATACAACACTAAAAATATGTATTTCACTAGTGACTGTAATGTTTTAAGTGTAAATAAGAACAGTATACTAGTATTGCAACATACTATAACATCATAAAGATTAGTCTTAATACCATTGTTAATTATGTAAAAAATTCATCTGTGCAAGAGGTTGTTGGCAGTATCAGCCCAAAAATGGACGGATGGAGGTTTTAAATATCTAACATTGAAACTATTTCAATTAGCATTCACACATGATTTGGGAATCACTAAATGAAATCTTGCATACTACAGGCAGTATGTGACTTAGGGACTCCTGGACAATAGATGCCTACAAATAATAGAAATATTAAGGTGTTCTCAACAGGACACAATGTGTGCATTTCTGTCCTTTTAAAAAAGGTGGAGAGGGTACCCGAGGTGAAAGTACGTGCTTGCTTCTCTTGCTGGTTTGGCAGCACTTTCTTTCCCGTGCATGTGTGTGTGTGTGTCCCAGTCCTAGCAGAGGGCAACTCAACTTGTGAGCTGAAGTTAAATATAGAACTCTTATTTACACACCACTGCTGTCGGCCCCGCCGGGCACATCACACACACAGAATGACTGCAGACGCGTATCTGAAACAGCATCCATACACACACAAACATCAACACACACACACTGTCAATGTGCATGTTCCCGCCTGTCTCTCTGTGGGCAGGAAATACTCAGAGAGACGTCCTGGAACAGACTGATGGAATGAAAGGCTGACTCAGCCGCGGACGGAGAGAGACTGAGAATGAGAGCAGGAAGCATTGGAGAGAATGGAGGAGAAAATCAAACAACTGCAATTCAAACATGTGGCTATGACAGCCAAGATAAGCACATACACGCACAGCCACATCGTTGAGCAAAACATCCAGGACATTCAAAGAGCTAAAGGTTTGTTTTGAGTGGACGAATGGACACTATAAACACCCACGCACGAAATCAGAAAGGCCTTGCTCTGAGTTCACGCTAAAATGTTCACAACACGAACTAGGCCAAAAATCTGAAGATGGCTAAAGACCACAATCATTTGTGCTTCATGAACATTTAATTTCAAAATGATGAGCATTCAATTGCTCCTTTAGGGTGGGGTAAGAGTGGGTGGAGAAAAATTATATTAATCAAGTCCTTTCTGAGGAAATTGCACAAAACTGTCCATCACAGTGCTAAGATGCTGGACCAAAGAGCTAAAGGTTTGTTTTGAGTGGACGAATGGACACTATAAACACCCACGCACGAAATCAGAAAGGCCTTGCTCTGAGTTCACGCTAAAATGTTCACAACACGAACTAGGCCAAAAATCTGAAGATGGCTAAAGACCACAATCATTTGTGCTTCATGAACATTTAATTTCAAAATGATGAGCATTCAATTGCTCCTTTAGGGTGGGGTAAGAGTGGGTGGAGAAAAATTATATTAATCAAGTCCTTTCTGAGGAAATTGCACAAAACTGTCCATCACAGTGCTAAGATGCTGGTGGTGCACTGTAAAAAATGACAGTGAATTTAAGGGTAAAAGACTGTAAAAATGCTACAGTAAAAACCTGTTAAATGGTTAACGGTAAATTCCCCTACTATATACGGTGAAAAACTGTATTGGACATTACATGTAATTTTACGGTAGTATACCGTTTTTGGAAGTGAAAAAAAAAAACCCCGTATAATTTACAGTGAATAACCGTAAATTGACATTCCCAGAATTCCATGCGTTACATTTCAAATTTGATGTTTTTTTGTTGAAATAACTATGTTTTTTAGTTTTTTCGTCTACCGTATTTTTTACGGTAAAATTCCGGCAACCACAGCTGCCGGTTTTTTACCATACATTTTACATAATTTTTTTTACAGTGTGGTTGTTAGAGTGTATTGTTTCCTAACAGCTCCTAACATGCTCTGGGGCCAGATTCATGACAATAATATGTGTATTTCCAAAAACATGACAGGCTTTGGTGTTATCTGATTGTATGGTGGTTCTTGTAGAAGACTTGATGATCATCTCAATGAAAAACACCATAGCCATCTTTTTGCAATCAAGCAGATTACCATAATAATGTGCCACGTATTTTAAATTTTCTGAAAATTATGATGTAATTATAAAACGAGTTCCCTATTAGAGTCAATCTTGTAGAGTTGTTACTGAAATTCGAATTGAGCAAAATTCACTTCACGCATAATAATATAATGTTTATATTATCAATCATTAATGTCACTTTAGAGTACTTGTGCAAATCATGCACACTTTTTAAGGCAAGTTGTAGCTTATCCTAACTTTAAGAGGTTATTTACAACTATTTTTAACTTCTTTTCAGGAATTTTTGTCTTTAGCAATGTTTTTTTTCAGTATTATTACGATTTTTGCCTTTAGTAGTGTTATTTGATCATTAAGATAAATCGGTTTATATTTTTACATTTTAATTTTAATTTGACAGTTTTAGTAATTTTTTTGTGTTTTTGTCATTTTATTAGCTTTTTATTATTTAGTTATTTAAATAATTAAATAATCATTATTATTATTTAAATATATATTTATAGTTTTTATTCATTTTTAATATAGTTTTACTTTTGATAATTTATTACATAAAGTTCAACTAAATTTAGTTTTTTTGTAATACTTTTCATAATTTCAGGTAACTTTATTTTAAGTAACAAAAATGTTTTTAGTTTCAGATTTAGTTAACTATAATAACCCTGGTCGTCATAAGTGTTAAAAAAATTCTTAAGAAACATTTTTGGCAATACAAAATGTCCTTATAAAGAATTTAATTATTTTAATCAAGCACCTGGGTGGTTTCTAGGTGATTGCTTATGCAAACATTAGCTGATTTTCAATCATGAACCTCTTTTACATGTTTTTTTTCTCAGGAAAAAAAAAAACTAGACTAGAAATCAACTTCGGTCCTATTTGCAAATATTGGAGATGGTCTCGTGGAAGTAGCAATGTCAGAACTCCTGTCCTGTTCGTGTGCCAATATTTTCCTCAGCAAACAAGCCACTTATTTCCCATGAAGTTTGTGTAATCACGTTTTTCAGTTAAAATGAGAATAATGACTAATAATGTAAGAAAGTAGAGAAACTTTTCCCCGTCCCGCCTCCATCTTTTACTCTATTTTTACCAATTTACAGTTAGTCCCACCCAAACTCATGCACCAGCTGAGTCAGAAGGTGACATGCCGGTCGCTCAAGACAACAGAACAAGGTTTTGATAACACTACAGATTCAGTGTTTTCACTTTTCAGGAAGTTAACCTGTGAAAGGCCAGAAACATACCTTAGAAGACGTTAATGCCTGGCATTCCTTTGCGGAGATACTGTAAATGTAACGTGTACTTGAGTTATGCAGTGCATTCTGAATGATGGGTAAAAATTGAGCTTGAAAAGCTAGAAGCATTTGCGTTCACATTCTTGTGTCGAGTATGTTTTAGACCATATAGTTGTATCTGCACAATAAACTGGCGTAGGATATATAATTTTAACACTGAAAACAATTAAGCACACAAAAGTGCCACAATATAATATTTAGGGGGTATCCGACAGAAAAGCTTGAACAGAAAACCACTGTTGAATATGATATGACTGAGCAAAAAAAAATAAAACTAAAAACAAAACAAAATTGTGTTTTGTTGCATATCCCAGTTTGGTGCCACTACATAACAGTGTGTGTGCAAACAAATAGATGCACTTAGGACACCCACTACATCAGAGAGACAGAAAGAGAGAGATGAATGAGGTGAGGCAGGGATAAATAGAATGAGCACACTGTGTGTGTGTTGTAGTGTTTATGTCAGTCTGTTCTCGCATGTCAACCGAATTACACACAGAACACTTATATAACAAACCACATTACTGCTCATTAACAATGACCCCTCTGCTGTCTCGCTCTCCCTCTCTCTCTCTCTATGTCTCTTGCTCCCTGTTTTTCTCCATGTGCAAGCTTCTGAATTTTCTTAAGCAAAGCCCTGAATGTTTTTAATCATCTTGTTTTTCACACTAACCTTTCATGCCTTGTAATTTCTGATACTAAGAAAATCATTCAGAGGTGCAACCTACTCCAGAAATCATTCCTCTGACTGCTGCCATTAAGTCTAACTGACATGCTGCATACTGACGGCATTTCCATCCAGATGTCAAAAATATTTAGAGATAACTAAAGCAAAACATACAGAAATTTACTGCATCTGCTGTACTTGCAAACTCTTTTAAGAAACAATGCCAAGTTCACAAACTTCACTAAATCCAGTAACTATACCATACATTTTACCATATACATAAACCATATACCATATATTATTAAAATACTAATTTTAATAGCTTATTACCTTCCAAACAAATTTTAACACCATTTTTATAATTCAAACTTTGTCTATATCCTCAATAGAATATTACCATAATGCATACTGTACCATAATACATAGCTCTTTTTATTAGTGATTATTTATCTGAATTAGGGTTGTGACGGTGAGGAAATCTTCCCACCGGTTAATCGACGTGTGACAACACCGATAATACCGGTATCACCATGGGGGCAGGGGCGTTTCCTCTTTTCCTCGCTTTCCTTCGCTTTTAAATAGCTTGCAAAAGCAGCTGCGCATTTTACTTTCACTTTCAAATAGCGGAAATTCGGCGTAAAGCAATTGTTCGGTTTTAGTTCGTTTGAATTTTCCCTCTTTTCATTGCTTTCCTTCGCTTTTAAATAGCTTGCAAAAGCAGCTGCGCATTTTACTTTCACTTTCAAATAGCGGAAATTCGGCGTAAAGCAATTGTTCGGTTTTAGTTCGTTTGAATTTTCCCTCTTTTCATTGCTTTCCTTCGCTTTTAAATAGCTTGCAAAAGCAGCTGCGCATTTTACTTTCACTTTCAAATAGCGGAAATTCGGCGTAAAGCAATTGTTCGGTTTTAGTTCGTTTGAATTTTCCCTCTTTTCATTGCTTTCCTTCGCTTTTAAATAGCTTGCAAAAGCAGCTGCGCATTTTACGTTCACTTTCGAATTAGCAGCAATTTGGCATCAATCGCTTGAATGCCACAACAAAATACAACGTCAAACTCACTTTAGTCTATATATAAAACATAGAACTTTTATTAACACAACGAATAAAAATACACCATGCTATAGGGCAGGCTATGCCTAATATAAAATAACAAATAACTTACATAAAGTTTAAATAGGTAGCCTATACAAAACTGGAAATAGGCCTAAGTAAACATGCATAATATATAACCAAATAAAAAAGAAACGTAGAAAGTTTATAAAATAAATAAATTACACAAAGTTTAAATAAAGTAAAAATCAGCAAACACTGTGGAACCAATTAATTAAGAAACAAATGTTTAAAAAAACATCCAAAATCACCTTAGATAAACGGCAAAAGTCAACAGGCTTTTCAAAATCCAAAATACTGTCAAACAGACACTTTTGCATTTCGTTTCGAAACTAAATCATCCGCCATTGTCTTTTCTGTCTCACCTCACTTTTCTTGTCAGTCAGCTCGACTCACTCTCCTCACTGGATAAATTAAATCTGATCTGTGATGCAACTGTTGTTCAACTGCATTGAGCAGCCGCGTTCAGTTTTTAATTGTAGTGTCTGTTCTTTTACTGAACTAAATGATTTTTATTACTATAAAAAAATCAAAACGACGGTGGGGGTCAGTACACTTGTAGGCAAGTGACCTAACTGGTGTTGCGGCTTAACAACGGTATCACCGTCAGCACCGTTTACCACGGCAAGCCTACTCTGAATAGCTCTTTTTATTTTTAATCAAAACTTAGATTCTGTTCTTTAATAGATAAGATCCCTAAAGTTGCAAAGACTAAAGTCTCAAACCCAAAGAGATATTCTTTATAAAAAGTTAAGACTCGACCATGCCCTCCTAAAACACCTCGTTTAAACACGCCCCCACATGTCTACGTCGCTGTGTGGGAAGATTTGCATAACATCGCCCAAATGTTTACACAAAGAAAGAAGGCGTAACTTTTATTCTCACTGTAGTATTATTGCTGCCGCCGCCTTATCGTGGAGACGCTGTGTGTTTCAGTGTGAAAGCGAAACTACTTTGTTTGGCCTTCCAAAAGAGGACACAACTAGAAATCAGTGGTTAAGTTGTATTTACAACACTGTTCCAGAACAGTTCAACCCAAATATTCAGATGTGTGCAGCGCATTTTACGGAGGACTGTTTCCTGAACCTGGGAGAGTAGCCTACAATGCCATCTACACACAAAGACCGTTTCTATAAAGTGGGGCACTTCTGACTCACAGACTGTAAGTATGTTTTCATATTAAAAGAATTTGCCACTGACGATTCAAACGCAGTTTTGAGCAGTGTAGCGCTTCGCTTGTTGTTTGTCATTTCTCCGATCACAACATGGTTTTATGTTTACGCGGCGCGATATGAAACGCAACACGTAAAAAGACAGTATAAGACATTATAATCAGAAATTATGTCCCCACTGGAACAAATGCCTCTTTGTAATGGGTTTTATTGGTTTTGTGTTGTCGCGCCGGCCAGACACAGCATCACAGTATGGTAAGGGGCGTAACATTTCCGTCACACGCTTGAGGCATTCGGCCAATCACAATGCACTGGCTAGCTGGCCAATCAGCGTACACCTCACTTTTCAGACCGATGAGCTTTGTAAAAATTGACGGCGGGGCATAGAGGAGCAACAAAAATGTACAGTATGTGGAAAATAATGTTTTTTGAACCTTAAAATTACACCAAATACACAAAATAATGTTCTTTTTAGCAACGTCATATGACCCCTTTAAATAATTATCACTCAAATAAAAAAAAAGAGTTGTATATTAACATTTAATTGCACAAAATGCAGTTTCTATATTAACTTTTCAATTATATAATTATGTTTCTACTCCAGTTCACTGTTGAAATACACAAAGCTTCTAGCAATTAATGGATGGTAGGTGCACTACAAATTGTTTTTAGTGAAGTTTTGTTGATGCATCAACTGAAAACAGCATAAACTAAAAAGAGCTTGGTTCACAAAAATTAAGATTGATTAAAGATTAGAAATCGATATTGTTAATCCAGCACTAGAGACCACACAGCTAATATGTTTACCTGTTGTAGTTTTCCCACGCGTTGTATACACTAATTTATATGTCCTCATTTCCGTCAGTGATTTTGGTCTTCCAAAACTGTTTCGGCCTAAACCGAAAAATTAATTTCAGCCAAATACTTCACAAATGAAAACGACTCTCTTGCTACCAAATATATTTGGAGAAAACTATCCGCTAGCATTCCCATTCTTCTCATATACAGTAATTTGGCTTGAAGATGTAACATTTCAACATTCCTATTCCACCAATTAATTAAAAACATCCCATAAGCATCCCAGGAGGTCTGGGCTAAGCCCTGAATATACGCTGACCCTATAACTGCCCATCTCTTTCTCTGTCTATCTCTAGGTTCAAGATGAGGTTACATTCCTAATGTTTTGACAACCAACAAACACTGTAAATCAACCTCTATCCTGCTCTCCTCTTCGGTCTCGCTCTTCATCTTTAGGAGCCTTTAACTCTTCCTTCCTGACAGACAATACGTCTCCCTTTCTCTCTGTGCCTGCTGTAATCACCCGTTTATTCATCTGTGGGTTCAGGTCTGGGTCTGGGCTTGTTTAGCTCTCATTACGAGAGGCCCAAAGGGTGCTGGGAGAGGACGGGAGGGGGTATTAATCAGATTTGGGTTGGTTAAGCCCAGCTTAAGTGTGTTAGCGGGGTAGAGACAGGCCCTAGCAGTCACACACACACTTATCTCACTATTAGATTATGCACTGCCTTGTAGTGACAAAGTGCTTTAACCATCAGAACCCAAGGCATTCTTTTTTTTTTTTTTGACATGATCTAAGTCTAACATCAACCAAGACAAACAGATCACAATTTGACAGGGTCAACAAGTGGTACGTCTGATCCATTCCATTTATGACAAACTAAAACCAATAAACTACCGCCCTGAAAATCAAGAGTCAAACATCACATGCAGTGAGACGCTACTTAAAATAGCAACCATGTTACCGGGGAGAAAGTGTAACTAACATGGAATCAGTCAATGAAAAATTCCACCATACCTTTCAAAGGCAGGCAGATGTTTTTGTTTGAAATAATCATTGAGAAAAATCTGTTGTCATTTTGGCTGGGCCATATATTTAATATTTCACAATACATTTACAATACATTGACAGTTATTTTATGAAGAAACGTAAGCTACAAGGGTTGCTTTGTTTGAAATAATCATTCAGGAAAAATTTGCCATCATTTTGGCTGGGTGGTATATCAAATTCAAAACACATTCACAATGATTTTGCTGGTGAAGCAACATCGTGAACATCACAGAATTTTTCACACTCTTCAGGAAACTTAAAGGCCAAATTAAATCCTTCCTTGTCTCGCTTAAAAGAGATGTTTAAGAATTTAAACTGATTTAAGCTTCAACAAAAACAGCATTAGCTGTAAATTCATTTCCATTAGTTTCCATTTCCATTAATAAGTTCAAATCAAAATCAGTTTCATAAATTGACTCAAAACTCTGATTTATCCTGCATCACATCTTTCATAATAAAATGGTTCAGTAAAATATAAAAAAAAGTATTTGTGCCTTTATTTTGTTGAGCTAGATTTTTTACTATATTTAAATTTTGACATTTACGTTTAATCCATTTCAGACAAATACATAAATATCATCATGGTCTAATATTTTACATTTATCATCTAACTTTGGTTGTAATATCAGTGTAATTCTCTCTGTATGGTTAGGGCATGTGTTCATGCTGAGTGGAGGAGATTAGGAGACTCCCTGCCTACACACACCTCCTGTTTACATTACACACACACACACACACACACACACACACCTGTATTCAGTGTTTCTGTTTCCTGCATATCCATATTTTTCAATACTAGACAATGGTCTCAAATCAAATGACTAAAATATATTAAGTTCCCATTAAATATTGCAAAAAACATTAAGATAGAAAAACATGAATGAATATGAAATTTTATCATCTAACTTTGGTTGTAATATCAGTGTAATTCTCTCTGTATGGTTAGGGCATGTGTTCATGCTGAGTGGAGGAGATTAGGAGACTCCCTGCCTACACACACCTCCTGTTTACATTACACACACACACACACACACACACCTGTATTCAGTGTTTCTGTTTCCTGCATATCCATATTTTTCAATACTAGACAATGGTCTCAAATCAAATGACTAAAATATATTAAGTTCCCATTAAATATTGCAAAAAACATTAGATAGAATAACATGAATGAATATGAATAACTGGACCACGTCAAGTACCTGAGCACACAATCCTGCTCTAGCAAAATGGCTTTACAAGTATAGCTTAAAATACACACACACAACGCCTCTGCACTCCCGATTTCTCCCAATATGGGGACAGGAGACTTGTCAGTCAATAAAGGGGAAAACAAAGTAACTGGCATTACTTTTTTTTAAAAGTAACTAAGGTATTTTCTTGTAAATTAAAAAAGTAATGTGTTACTTTACTAGTTACTTGAAAAAAAGTAATCTGATTACGTAACTCGCATTACTTGTAATGAGTTACCCCCAACACTGCTTGTGTGTACATTAGAGCTGCACAATTTTGGATAAATTGAGAATCATGGTTTTTTTTTTTTTGGTTCGAATTAGAGATCACGATTCTCCCATGATTCTGAACTAAAAATAACATGTAGTAGAGCCTGTGATAAAATATTAATTGCCGACTATTTAAAAGGACGTAATATATATATATATATACATATATACATACATACATACACACACACACACACACACACACACACAAAAACAAATTGTAATATTAAAATTATAAAAAAATATTTTGAATGAATGATTCAATTACTTCAAATACTTCACTTGTTTCATTACTGAATGAATCAGCATTTCTGAATGAATCTCTTGAATTAATGAGTCAATGACAAATAATTTTTAACAGTTACTTGTCGACACTTGGTGGCAAAACAATATAATCGACACAAACGTTATTTGAAGCGTCAATTACTTTCAAACGGTGATTTGCTCTATTTTGATTGCTACCATAGATCCACCATCAGTGTTTATATCCAAATTATAAACTGTTATCCCAGTACTTTTGTGACAATATGAATGATTGTAAGACAGAAGTAATACAGTGTGATAGAAACAGTGCCTGTTTGTGGAGCTGTTTCATGCCTAAACATGATAACTTATCTCTCTGTGTGTCAGCTGCAGCGCAAATGCAGATTTGAATGACTTTTTCAAAGGTTTAATAGACACTGGCGATGTCATTTAGAAATGAGACTCTGTGAGTGTTTGAATCGAGATCGCAATCTGATTAATCGTGCAGCGTATTGTCACTACAGCGGTCACTAAATTGTAGTGTGTACGATATGTATAGTCTATGATAATATTGGAAGCTGACACTGAGTATGTAAGTATTACTTGTCGATTATTGTGATATTTTATCAGCTGTTTGAACTCTCATCCTGACGGCACCCATTCACTGCAGAGTGTCCACTGGTAAGTAAGTGATGTAATGCAAAATTTCTTCAAATCTGTTACAATGAGACTCATCCTCAAAACTCATCTTCATGGGCCTGAGCGTGATACATTTCAGTAAATTTTCATTTTTGGGTGAACTATTCCTTGAAAATGTTAACTAACCACCATGCAGAACTTGAAAAGATATATTTTTTTGTCAATACTGCACACCCCTACTAAAAGGTATGTATATTGGCCATTGAAAAATGCCAAAAAAAGTGATCGCTTTACATTTCAGAAACAACACAAGTTGTTCCAGTTTCATGATTTGCTTTCTCTTGATTTTGACGTCATTGTGAAAGAAAGTAGGCCAATTATGTTGCCAAAGCTAAAAGCATTCAAACCGGCCCTTTCAAACCCTTTACTGCCTTTAATTATTTCACATACAAGGTCTATTTGCTTTACGAGCATGTGAGCAAAGACTGTTTATGTCTAGGGTATAGTGTATGGATTTGACAGCATAAGGACCATGAGCATCAATTATTGCTAGAGTGGGCAGCTTTAACATAAATAGTGCAGTACAAATGGCCAGCATCATTATTTAAACATATTCAAGTGTTTTTTTAAGCAATATACAAGATGAGGTCCACGAGTACACATCATGTCTGAACATATACTGAAATATAATGCTATTATCTGAAGGAAAGAATATGAACGAATGGATAGCTTGGAAGTACAGTGACTAAACATGGGAAAATGTCATTCAGTCACTTCTTTTTATTTATTTTTTTCAGAGTGGAGCCAGTTAACTGAGGGACTGGAATCATGTGGATTACTTGTAGTTTATTGTGTTTTTATCAGCTGTTTGGACTCTCATTCTGACGGCACCCATTCAATGTTATAAAGTGATGTAATGCTACATTTCTCCAAATCTGTTTCAATGGAGAAACAAACTAATCTACATCTTGGATGGGATTGAGGTGGAGTACATTTTCAACAAATTTCATTTTTGAGTGAACTATTCCTTTAAATCTAATTACTACAATATGTTTGTTTTGATTGCCAGTGATGTTCTCATTAAGATGTCTGTTCTCATGGTTCATTGAGAACATGTGGCAAAAAAGGAGGTTGAATGAGGTCCGAAAAGAGGCCTAACTCTCACTTGCTCTTGTTTGTCCTCAATAATTAAAGTAAAATGAGACTGACCCCCTTCATTCTTCTGTGTAGGGCACATCTGTAGTTTATTTCCCATCATGCACCTGTCCCATGGGTAGAATGAATGAACATGTGTAGACTATTTCAGAGGTCATGGGTTTGTCAGCAGAGTTCACTGGGCTAATATTTTCATGTATACGTGTGTGCGCTTATGGGATTTCTGAGGATCAGACGATCTCGTTCCCTCTTCAGACATCAATTTCCTGTAAGTGTCTGAGGTCTTTGAAAATCTCCCACATACTTAAACACAGAGATCAGCTCTTCCTGTGCTGAGGGTCACCATATCAGTTGCTGCACATGCAATTCTCAACAACAATAAACTCACACAAGAGCATTAACAGATGATTTCTGTTGTGATACACTAGTATGGAGTCCCACTCATGCCAATCAGTAATCAAGAAATTAATGAAACAATCACTTATGTAATGTGCCTTATGTCCAAACTTATGTCCATAATGTGTTATGGAACCGTCACATTTTATGCAAAAATATAGACATGCAACCACACATTTTTCAGCATCACACTAATCTGATTCTTTAAAAAACTACAGGCAGATGAATGCTCTGTTTAATCTATGAACACAGATAGCATTATGATATAACATAACACTTTATGATAGCACTTTAGAGTTGGGATCAGTGTTATTTTAGTATCACTGGGATATTATTATAGTCATTCATATTTTGAATTAAACTAAATTAAATAATATAAATTAAATAAAAATAAAAACCTTTTGTTTAACTGAAATAAATTAATTTGAACTGAAATAAAATACAATTAAAAAACATTTCAGGTAGTTGCCAAGGCAACATTTCTAATTTTTATTTAGTTTAATTTGATAATTTGATGTCCCAAAATAACTAAAACTGAAAAATAAATAAAGGGGGTATTATAGTATTAGAGTTATTAATGGTTTTACTTTTTTTGTTTAGTTATAATAACCCTGGTAAACATATACAACATTTCACAATCTTATCGCATCACTATTTTAAGCAGAACATTTTTTCATTTATGTGTATTATTTTATTACATAAATTATTCATA